TTAAAAAATATTTTAATTGTGTAAGATGTAAGGTTTAATATAATAAAATTAATAATAGTAATACACTATATATATATATTTTTTCAAATCATAATTGAAATTCCATATTAATCTTTCAAATTATATTAAATTCATAAAGTCGTACTAACCAATGATGTGATATTTTATAATTAAAATAAAAATACTTTTTTTTTCAAATTTTGATGAGACAGATTGTATAAATTTTAACATAATTGAAATAAAAATATTTTTTTAATTTTTTTAATATTTTAGGAAGTCAATTGAAATATAAAAAATATCATATAATTAGTTATGTTAGTGTAATGGATGAAAATGACGAATTGAAAAATTAACCAAAATTTTAAAAAGTAATTGATGGAAATAAAATCTCACGACACAAATTAAAATTTATCCTAAAACTTAACCTGCTAACCTTTTGGACCAAGTTTTAGTGGTTTAGGTGGCAAAAGGTGGTAAGAAAAAGGGAAAATTGGTGCCCACGGTGGAAAAAGGGCGATATTAATAGGTTGCATATTTTTCTCCCTCTTTTATTTATTTTTTAAAATAATGAAAGAGTTTTGGTAACGATTTTTTAATATTTATGTTTTAATTCATAAAAAAAACAAAGTAACATTGATATATATTGAATATGTTAAAAAGAATAAATAGAAATTTACTTCTTTCTTATAATAACGACTCATACAAGTTGCTCACTTGGTGGATTATTTATTTATTATTGTTTTGGGTGCAAGTTGCTGGTGTCGGTCGAAAGGTAGGACCTAGAAGAATTGCGACTTAGGATTTCCATTAGGAGATTGCATGCCCTTGGGATTGTGAAAGGCAAGTCTTCTATTAGCACGGAGCAGAAGATAAAATTTTCAATTTCCTTTTCTTTTCTTAATTAAGCATTCATAGCTCGAGTGATTGCAATTTTTCTTCTTCTTATTTTGGTGAGAAGAAAGGACCTTCCAGAGTAAATTATAAATCAGTCCCTCATTCATAGGGAAACGAATTAATTAGTCCATTTGATTTCAAAAGCTAATTTTTGTCATTCTTGCTATTTTTTAATTTTCTTGACCTTTTTTTTTAAGAAATAAAAAATAAAAAATAAAAAATAGATAAAAATATGAAAAAAAATTGATGAGAAAAAAAGACATTTTTAAAAATAAAAAAATAAATTAGCATGGCTAAAAAGATTAAATAATTATAAAAAAAGGGATTGATTTATAATTTATCTATCACTATATTTAAACTTACTACATGAAATATATATATATATTCACATCTACTGCATGAAATAAATATATCTATATGATTTATTATTATGGTTTAAAATTTATTTCTTCAATTTGTAGTTTCTTGTTAAAATTTTCATCAAATTTATTTTTATTTTGTTTAAATATTATTTATCGATAAATATGATTTATTATTCTCTACGCATGGATTTTTAAATAAAATTTTACAACATGATTATTTTTTTTAAAAAATAAATTTATATAATTTATATGATGAACTCTTAGAATTTTTAAATGACAATAACATATATATATTAGAGAACTTGTATTAGATTTTTTGAAAAAAAAATAATTTACAAAATAAATTTTTAGTTATAAATCCATGGAGTTTTAGATTATTACAAGTTTTTAGTTAAGAATCGAATAAATAAGAATATATCAAGTTTTTTTATAGAAAATTTTTGAACAATACAACGAGTAATTATACAAATGTAAAATTTTAATAAAAAATAATTATTATATTTTGATAGATTTATAACATAAGTCTTTAAATTAAAATAATTTTATATATTCTTTCTGATCCGTAGCGCAATGTGACAGAAAAACTAGTTAGATTGTAATTCGATCATTAAGAGCATCTATCTGCATCCCAAACACCTTGAACATCGAGGACCACACCTCCATCGAACCTAGGATGCCTTCGATTCAAACCCTGGACGATCCGTTAGCGTCCCAAACCCTATGAGGCTCTGCGCCCAACTCTGACCCCATCGTGCCAGATCTTATATCATTACGGACTTAACCCTGGCTCGACTCTTATTCCAGTTCGGGATTAGGTCGCTCTTGTACATCTTTAGTCTAACCAGGACATAATTCATATTCATTTTTCTAACGTATTGAATTCGACTTGACTAGTCTAAAAAACCAGATTTTATTAAACTTTTGAAAATCACTTCAAAAGTTTAAAAAATTGCTGCCAATTTTTTATTTTATTGAAAACAAATAAGTTTATATATATAAAAGAAAATGACTATTTGATCAAACAACTCATTAGCTAATATTAAGTCTTTCTCCAAATAACTCATAAATGCATCATCCACATTGATCATGTGCATTTTAAAAAAATGATAATAAATATTTCTGGATATTGGTCCCAAAATTAAAAGCTAAGGAAAAGGGGGTGGGGTGGGGGCGTCGGAAGAACTCTTTAACTACCACCCAACACCTGTTTTGTTCAAATCAACTCAAGAATTAAATGCTTTTCATCATTAAGAATATGTTCAAGCATCTGCCTCCGCTCTCGGGATAACATCACACATCAAATAAGGTTTAATGGCATTTTTCATCCCTAAGGCATTGCAATTTTGACACATCAAATCTAATGGTTCCAAGAAAAAGGTACAAGGCTAAAATCTCTTTTGAATTTTTGTTTATTTAAAAATCAATATCTAAACTTTTAATATATATTTTGACTTTCTTGAATTTAATTTTTATTTATTTGAGATTTAGTCAATCTTTTATTTTTTTATTTGTCCTTAAAATAACAATTATATAAATAGTCTCATAATGAAATCATTCGATAAGATTTATCCGAAGCTTTTTAAAAAATTTCGGATCATTTTAGATTATTTTTCATTTCCTCTAATTTTTTATATTTTTAATGTTTAAAAAATAAATAAATTATAACCTTGAAAAATGTTCAATTCTTTTCTTTTTTTTTAAAGAAAATGAATCTGATTTTTTTCCAATACATGCACAAATTTTCAGATCAAAATATTAAAAATTAATTTTTTAAAAAGGAATGAGTGATAGCTCAAAATAATGATAGATTAAATCTAAAAAAAATAAAAAAAGTTTAAAAAAGTCATAACACAAATTAAAATTTTGATTTTTGAAAGAACTAAAATTCTAAAGAGGATTGAAGCTTTTTACCATATGGAAAATGGAAAATGGGTGTGTTCTTTATTATTCGTTTATATATATATATATGAAGTTTTTTACCATAGGGAAAATGGAAAATGGGTGTGTTCTTTATTATTCGTTTATATATGTGTGTGTGTGTTCTTTATGATTCGTTTATATATATATATATATATATATTAATTACTAGAAAACATTTTAACTTAGCCCAAGAGATCAGTTTACAAAACAAAGCCCAGTTAATCTTCTTTAATTATCAAACTAGGCCCATGTGACGCAGCCTTGCTTTGTTGATTTAATATGTAGTTGTGACTTGTGATTTGGGACAAGCGGATTTTGCACAAGAGTTTGTGAATAGGATTAGCATTTAGCATCCCTGCTTCTGCTGCTTCCTTCACTAACCAGAAAAAGTGTAAACATCAACTTACAAACAGAAGATATTGTTCCTAAGCTGCTTGCTGTACTTAATCAATTTTCAAAAACATCTTGGAACATGATTAATAACTTGCTGCAAACAAGATTCTCAAATTGAATCCCTTGAATCCTAAAACCCTTTCCATTTTCCTACCCCTTTCCCTTCCCAAGCTTCACACAAGTAGGCTTCAAAAATCGAAAATTCCAAACATCAAGCCATCAAATCTGTAGAGACATTCATAGCTTCATACCGGCTGCACTAAGAAGGGATTTGACTCTCAAAGAATTAGGTAATATGCAAGGAAAATTACAAAATCATCCACTAGACACAGAAAAAAAAAAAGGGGGAAAAAGGGATGATCAGATTTTGATGATCAAAGAGGCATAGTGCATAGACAAGTGCTCAAGAATTAGCCTCCCAAACATCATTGATAAGACCTGATCTCATGCCCTCCTCCCCCTAAACCACATAGCAGTAAACTCTTGGCACTGAATCAAACCACCCTTTGATGGTCTTAACCAGACAGTCTTAGAACACACGTTTTGCATCCACCAAATTCGTCAGAGAGAAAACTAGGACACAACTCAAAAGAATGAATGACTGGACTGTTGCCTTACTAAGCTACTATCCACTAAATTGATGTTTCTTTGAGATGCTGAGCTCAGTCAATGAAAGGAAACCAATAGGTCACTAAGAAACAAGCATGAATACAAAACAAATAAATAGGATATGATCAGAACATGACATTTCCCAAAGAGAACACTAAACTAGTCCTGGTAGATTAGATTAAGTCAGCTATTCAAGAAGACAAACCACAAAACTACTGAAGCAATCAAGGCTTAATTATGTCTTGACAGTCATAAGGCATAATACTGACATCTATGAACAAAGAAAATCAACTTGTGAAAAAAATGTTAATATCTTGCGAATTTGTCATATCAAGGGATAAAAAATCAACAATAAGTCAAGCTAGTGTAGAACTTCTTAATGACCGACTACGAAAGATGGAAATTACAACACTAAATGAGGCAATCATAACCTGTTTTTATTGAGACCATAAGCCAAACGCAAACGATTAATCCAAACGCTAAACTATAAGCCACAAAGTATCACCCTATATCTCAACTAAAGCATTGTCAACCAGTAAATATAATTCATCAGGAACTATGACAACCAGTAAATTTAAGAAAATAGTATCATTATTGAATTCACAGTATGATGTACATTCTCAACAAGAAGGCAAAAAAAAGTACTTCTCCAGTTTTATTACAAAGAAAAGAAGACTAATTTAAACAAAGTTGATTACAAACATAACAACATGATGCCAATTCTATCCATAGATAACAACTTACTCATGATGCCAATTCTCTCCATACATAACAGCTTACTTGTGATGCCAATTCTCTCTCTCTCTCTCTGTTTCCACCATCTCAAGCATCCAAGTTCTCCATCTGAATGCTGCTTTTCAATGGCACATACTCTCCAAGATACCCACCGAGATGCTCATGTAAAGCAATCTTATCAATCCCTTGATGATGATAGCTCTTGCAAACATAATAAAACACACTCTGCACCAATAATCCCACCAAATTCACAATCACCAAAACCCCAACTAAAAACCCACCAACAAAAATCCTGGTAAACACTCCATGATTATCTCCACCATGAACCACAACAGTCGAAAAAATCACAGAAATCAATCCACAAATAGACAAATACCCAAAAACAAGAACACCAGCCACACGTGTCTTCCCTTTCAACAACTCATAACTCTTTTTCATAGCAGCAAACCCATAAATTGGCTCCAAAACAGAAACCACACTAGCCAAATGCCAAAGTCCAGTGATATAAACATGAACAACCAAGAAAAGCACGCCAATCACCACCAAAGAGAAAACCACCAAAAGGGTATTCTGAATATCAATACCAACAATCAAAATCACCAAGAAAAGCAAGAAAACAGAATTATAAACCAACATCAACAGAGAAACCCACAAGAAAGTGACAAACAAACGCTTAAAAACTTGAGGGATGGCAGACATTGTAGAGGAAAAAGTAACAGGCTTTGAAGTGTAAAGAGAAGCAACAGTGAAAACAACAGCAGCAGTTGATAAAAGAGAGAAAGCAAATAAAAAGATTAGATAAAAGAATTGAAACACTAGAAGAACGGTCCATTGATGAGTGTTTTGGCTTGATGGGTGATCTTGAATTTGGGCTAAGAGAGGATGAGTAAAAAGGGAATGAGCCAAGATTGCAAAAGATAAAGGAAAGATCAAAGCAAGGGTGATTAGTTGAAAAGTTTTCGGTGCTTGTTTTGGGATTGAAATTGATTCTTTCAAGATTTCTGGTATGGTCAAGAATTGGAGCTCTTCTGTTTCAAGATCCATGGTGGGTTTTTGCTGTGTTTCTTGAAAAGAAAAATCAAAGCTTCAAAGGGAGAAGGCGAGGAGGTTGAAGAGAGATGTCGGTGGTGGTAATGGATTCCGTAAAGGGAAAGAAGGAAGGAAGGAAGGAAGGTAGCTGGATTTTTATTTATTTATTGGATTTCGTGAATTTGGAAATTCTTTTTTCTCCGTATTATATGGATGGGGAATCTGGGGCAGTAAAAATTAATAAAAGATGTGATTATCGTTTGCATTAATTGTTTTTGCTGTATTAAATACTTTTTCCATGACATATATTCAGTAGTAATTTCCTTCGTTTTTAGTTGTTTGGAGTTTATGTATTTATGCTTTCCTTTTTTCTGTATAATGAATGAGTACATTAAAAATTACTAGTTTTTAAAAATGGTAGGTTGAGTTTGTCTAGAATTTCCTAATTATCTGTATCAATAATGCAAGAATTCTCGTTCTCTATTTTTTTCATAATTATTTTTGGTTTTAAATACATTAAAAAAATACTCCTAATCAGTTTCAAAATACAGTAGTTTTGAGGGTTTTTTTTACACACTATTTTTTCCATGTAGAGTGTCTCGTGTAATTTTGAGATTAATTATTATAATTGTAATATTTTTAATAATTAAGTTTTTTAAAAAATGATTTTTTATTTAATTAGACAAGTGTTATTAGGAAATTAGTGTTTTGAGATTTTTTTTTCTAATTAAGTATTATTAGGGATTTTTAGTTTTTCTATTCAAAGAATTGTAATATCATTTTGACAATGAAAGAGAATTTGATGAAATAAATCCTATCTTTTTTACCTTATATGCAGCATCAAGTGATATCAAAATAGGATTGACCTAACCATCAAGGGGTGATGCAATGACAAGAACTTGGTAACAAAAGGTTTGCTCCTTCCGTGATCTCGGGTTCGAGTCCCGATTGCTCTTCTTGGTGTCCACTTGAAGCTTATATGATCGTTAACTTCAAGATCCATGAGATTAGTTGAGGTGCGCATAAGTCGATCCGAACACCCGCATTATAAAAAAAAAAAAAAAAAGGATTGGCCTGACAAGTAGATAAAGTTTTAATAAAAATTTATATCATTTTGGGCAATATGCGAATCAAAAAGATAACGTTAATATATCTAAAACAGACGTATGATCATTATTTTAAACAGCTTGATAGGAGTTTCATAAATATTGAAGAAGGCAACAATGTCTTGATGTTAGATGTCAACATATATCATAATTACAATAAGTGTCACACTAGCAAAGCAACTAGCAATCAATCTATTTGTAGTTTTGTTCTTGTTTTCGAAAAAATTCAATTAAAGATTATAACAGAAGTATGTACGATAGATTTAATTATGAGTTTAATAAATTTTATATAAAGATTGATGTTCGATAGAGATTTGGGTGTTGAAGAATTTGTGAATTGGCTTAGTGATTGTGATAAAATGATGGAATGTGCAAAACTATGAAGAATGTGGTTAATATATTGAGTCAATTGAACGTATAACTGTCCAGAAATCTTCCATAATTGAAGACTCTAATGACGATCATATTAAGATTATAAATGTTAGCAGTACTTTTGTGCAATTTGAAAAAAGATAACCAATGATGATTTTTTTTCATATTAACCTCAAATTAACATGTTTGATATGGGTAATGTTTTAAAACCAAACTTGCAAAGAGACTAACACATGCGACTTTGGTAAAGTTGAGGAGTATTATTAATGAGATTTTAATATTTTCTATAGAGGTAATAAAATTAAAAAGAAAGTAATCACAGATCGTAAAGTTGGTTTCATGAATCATAATGCAAGAAGTTCTTCTTGTTTCTTAAACTTACTTTATGTCGGTTTCTTTCTTTTTCTTAAAAAGTTTAAAGAGTTGTAATAGCTTTTGACCATTGAAAAAAGAAAATTGATGAATAAAAATTATAAATTAGTCCCTCTAGTTTTAAAAAAGAAATAATTAATCTTTTTTTTAAATAATTATTTAATCATTTTCTTTTTTCTTTTTAACTTTTATTGTTACTTAATCTTTTTTATTTGTCATTTATATTCATCAAAATGATTATAATTTATCTTGGAATCTTTACATCTCTCTCTCTCTCTCTCTCTCTCTGCATTATGATTATGGTCCATTTGGTCTGATTAACGTAAACCGAAGTTAAATCTATTAATAATACCAATTTGATTAAGGAAAAAAAAACTAATTTCTATTGTAATGTATACCATAATAACTTGTGAAATGTGATTAGCATAGCCATTTGAAAAACTACAGTTTTTTTTTCCTAGAAACAAGTGACAGTTCCATTGTTGCCAAAACAAAGTAAGATTCTTGCTAGCCGTAAATTTTGCAGGGAAAACTTCAGGCAAAATCAAGAGAACAAGCTGCAATTGATATTATAGATTTGCTCATGAGCTGTTTCATACACCATCAGATTCAGCTATGAAGATATCTTGCCCACCCCACTTCCTCATACGTTCTGTTGTTTGTTCAACCTGCATTCAGATTTATAAATTAGTATCGTACTGATCATGCATATGGTTTTAAACCGCAGACACGGTTGAAAAAACAACTACGGTTGTATAACATAAAATAACAATTGCAGTCGTTTTATAACATTAAATAACAGTAACAAATGCCTTGAAACAGTTATATAACAGCGGTTGTATAACATAAAAGTCGTTATTTAAATCTATGATCATGCAAGACTTTAATTTAGTAATTTACCTCTTTTATCCAGTTGGTTTTGTACAGCACAATCAAAAGCAGCAAGGTCTGCAAAGCAGTTCCAGCAATCATGCCACCCCAAAGTCCCTATAAAAACTAAAACTATTTAACAATTGAGAAAATTCTAATCAGGAAATTAGAACGAGTGGAACCAAAGTTGCTGTACCGTCACTCCCAAATTTGCTTTATATCCAAGCAGGAAACCAAGTGGTAGCCCAAAAATATAATAGCAACCTATGTTGATGTATGCCACTAATGCTTGCCAGCCACCACCAACAGCAACACCTGTGAGAATGTACAGATAATCATTCGAAGAGAATAGATGGAAGACAACTCGATCGTTGACATGAACTTTATAGCCCATTCTGTTGGTATTCGTATACCTGATATCACTGGCTGAACACTGTTAAGAACCATGGTGATAGCTAGAAGGAATGCTAGTTTAGAGACAGCTACTTGCATATCTTTGCTGCTTGTGAAAATGATGGCAAAATAATCTTTAGTTATCAACACAACAACCATGGAAATTAGACCAATGAGAAGAGATTGAAATACAGTCACATAGACCGAGTATTTTGCTGCTCTTGGATGTCCTAATCCGAGCTCGTTGGAGACACGAACGCTGATAAGGTAAGTTATAATAAAAAATTATCATCATAATTCAGAAAATTTCACACTAGAGATGCAAACTTTTCATATGTAATTATATGTATACATTTTGTGGACAGAGTTGAGGTCTTTTACCTTATAGCAGCATTTATTCCAATGAACAACATAGCTTCCCATCCATTGAAATTCATGCTGAAATATACAAAGAGAAACAAGAACTTAAAAGCTGTAGCCAAAGGAAGAGCTTAAACTATAAAAACGAGATTATGATTTAGAAAAATGATCATAAACTCACCAGATAGAAAGGGAACCAATAGCAATGACTGCATTATCAAGATGTCCAGTAAGAACTATAATACTCATCATATACCAAATCTCCAAGCAAAACATCACAGCTGAAGCAAGGGAGAGTCTAGCAAAGGCCCAGATATCTTTAAGTACAGACCAAGAAAATCCATGCCACCCTTCCTTACACCAACCGAAGACATAGATAACCTCAGCCAAAGCAATTCCCCAAGAGGTAATGTCAAATGCCACAGCTGCACCAATGGTACCCCATTGGAACTCATAGATGAAGAGCCAAAGCATAAAAATGTGTACAATTAGACCCCCAAACCCAATCCAAGCAAGTGCATTCACCTTGCTTTGGGCCTGCAGGAACTTCTGGGTAGGGAAATTGATAGCAAGTGAAAATAATTGTGGGATTACTAGAAGAGTGAATTCTCCAGCAAGGTCAGCAATGGTATCTTCTTGGCCAAGAAGTTTCAGGATTGGAGCAGCAAAAATGTAAATGGGCAAGAGGAGTACAGAAGTCACCAACAAGATGATCCATGACCTTTGCAAGTAAAGACCAAGCATGTCAACTTTACCTGCTCCAAAAGCTTGACCACAAAGGGTCTCTAGTGCACTCCCCATACCCAACATGAAGCCGAAAGAGAATGTGCCAATGACAGCAAGGGAAATGGAAACGGCAGAGAGCTCAAAATTTCCAAGATGGCCAACAAATATATTGGTAAAAGAGTTTGTACCATACTGACAGATTATATTGAAGGCTATTGGACCTGCAATCTTCCACAATTTGACAGTCTCTTCCCAAAACACAGACTTTATGGCTTTGAAGCTCCTTGGCGGCAAGTAGTCTCCTCCAGCTTCATCAGCTGATGATCCATTAATCAGCAGTGCCGTCTCCATGGACAATTAATGGACTTGGTCACTCAGTACTGATTTCTGAGCCTCTCAGGTTCAGAAAATGTCTCTGCTGCAGTCTACAGAGAAAACCCTCATGATATATTGCCAGCAAAGGCTCTACAAAAATCAGCTAGAAATGGGACTGCAGTTTGCATTCAAAAGCCAGTTAGATTTACATCTGATAATTGAACTGTAAGAACATATATGGAAGGGAAAGGTCTTGCTGCCAAAAAGAATTTAGTGTAAATTAATGTGGTTTTTTCTGTACAATTGAAACAGAGTAATTTATCACATCCTCCCCTTCCTCTCATCCTGGGTGTAAGCAGGATTTTAAGAACCTAACAAGAGGCCTTACCAATATAATGAAGAGGATTTCAAGAACCAAATAAGATATTAAAACTACTGAATAAAAAAAGTAGCTTATACCAAAAATTACTCCTTTTCATTTGATAAGTAATCCAGCAGGCAAAGATAATAAAGAGGTCTTACCAAAATCAGGCAAAGGTTCAATCATATCCTGTCCAACATCATCTCTCCTGGGCCATATGAGCCCCGCAAAATTCCATGCCCCAGATTGCTTTCAATATTCTTTTACACTATCCCAAGTCTAAGAAACAGATGGTGAGTGTTACTTCAAGCTCCAAACTGATCTCTGTATGTTTCTTTTATATCAGTGATATAAAGGTGTGACCTTTGCACCTTTCCTCTATAGACATTTGGCGTTCGGATTTGGAGAAGGAAACACGTGCATCAATCGTCCTACCTCATGTCATTTTCATAATATGGTGATTTTGTTGAGTAGTTTCTAAATCAAATATATTTTCCATAACTAAACTGCGGAAATTTTGGATTTTGCAAATTTTCTTCCTTTCTTTCTGCAAGAATAAAATAAAAGAGAGCGGCAATATGACTACGTCTCTCTCTTTCAATGTGTCTAGTTAAAAAAATAAAAAATAAATAAAAAAATATATATATTTAATATTTCCCTTGCAAAGAATCCCATATAACTATAATCTTCTGCTTCCAATTAATTTTCTCTAGCAGTATATATGGTTAAGATCACACCAAGATCAAGAACCCAAAAAAAAAAAAAAAATCACACCAAGATCATTTCAGAACATTTTTTTTTAAATGATTAAGCATATATAGAACCTTAATTGTTTGATGCCAAGGACACATTAAATCTTAGATAATAAGTTCAAGATCTTGAATAAAAACATGTATGTGCAATTAAAATAAAATATAACTCCATATATATATATATATATATCCATTAATCACAGTAACTAATTATAAGGGATATAAGTCTAATAGGAATAGGTTAATGTGTTACTGTATATAATTGGAGGGATCAGGAATGGAGAGACTGAAATTCTGAAGGTTGGGCTGATAGGCTGGACAAGGAAAGGTTGGAACTGTAGAGGAAGTGGAGCAAGTTGATGTAGAGTACTAATTGGCTGATCTTCACCCAAAAAAAACTGGAATTGCTCGAACATTCTCTGCTGTTCATCTGGTTTCACCATTGCTAGAGCTGCTTGTTGTTGCTCCAATGCTGCAACTTGATGCTACATTCAATGCCAAAAGAACGCAATTTACTAAATTCATTGAAAACTAAAGTTGAAGAATCAAAACTAGTGGTTTTGTTTTTGAGTATGCTTAGAAGTACATTAATAAATCCAAATATAGATGAAAGACACTGTGATTAGGCCAAAAAAGAAAAAATCATTTACTTACCAGATGGTACTGTATTTGTTGATTTTCCTACTCCAACATTTTCTCTTACCACGAAAATAAAATAAATTACAAGTAATATAAGAGCGTAAAGTCCTAGTTAATATTCTAGAAAAGATAGATGATGATGAATGGTTTACCTTTCTTCGCAGATTGTCCACCTGCTGTTCCAAAAGCTCAAACTGCATCCGATACAAAGATGATTTTGATTATATATTGAACTCTTAGGCATTTCCTAGGACTTGAATATTTATTAAAGTTAGAAACTATGTATATTGTTCGAATATTTTTAATTTTTACACCTAATAATCCTTTTATTAATGATAGTATTTACCTACCCCATCTTATTATTTAAGATATACATTTTTTAAAAAATTAATTCCATTTTCTGGTATTGTACAAAAAATCTCATTCTTTACCAAATGCTCAAATATTTTTGACACCTTGAATCTCAACAAAATTACTTCGAAATTTTGACAGCTTGATTAAGATAAAGATAAAGAAAAGAAAAACGACGTTCATATATAATGTTCACGAGTAATATGTCATTCAAAATCAATTACTCCTAGGAAAATATGAAATCACATCATTATTAATTTGTCATTTATATTCATCAAAATCATTACATTTTATCTTGGAAAAATAGATTGTATACCCATTCGAAGGACTATTAGTATTCTTTTTAGAAAGGTCAAAAATAATAAAATCTCATAATTTACGATATGGTATGTTACAACCGAGTATTTGCGACAAGAAATGAATCCTATTATCAATAACTACTAGTTCTTATAATTCGAATACACAATAATTCTCGAACTCTGCTATTATCCGGCCGAGTGTTTGATAGATCCGAGTCTTGAAAACCAAGTATAGTTCTTTGCAAACTATGGAATGTTTGAATCACCCTAGCTATCTCCTCGTTCTTGGTAAATCCATTTATGTTATTATTGCTTTTTTTGGTTTATGAATAAAACAAGAATTTAAGAGCCCGTTTTCGAAATAAGGAATTCGAACAACTATTTCAAATACGGTATCATGTGTCAAACTTCCTTTTCCTTGTTCCGTAGCGTGGTCTCGAGCCATAGTTTAAGATTCCGTTCCTTATAGCCTAGTCTATATCCACAGTTGATGCAGCTACTGTTTCAAATATTTGTCCTATATTCATTCGTACGTGAAGGTACTCCTAATGGGTTGAAGAACACAACACCTTATATATTTGCAAAGCGTAATGCGTAATGATATTCATAATACTAATCTTACTAGAATTGATTGTTTTTCATCGAAGCATCGGATCATGTTGTGTGCTTTTGATGCTAATAAAAAGTAACACATCTATTAGTATTTAACATTTTCGTGAACTAAAATGTCCCAAGCCAAAATATCACAAGTACCACCTCGTTTAGAACCATCGTAAGGAAAACTAGAACCAAAATCCTTTTTACGAAGTATTAACTTTTCATCAAGTTGTTTCAACGGATCAAAACGGCCGATTATTAAGGGGATTTTTTGTCGGTTTAAAATATTTATTTAGACGACGGCTTCTAAATACATAGTAAGCTAAACATATGCCGATCATGTGCCGATGTATAACCAAACTACAATGAATAAGAAAGGTATAATAATGATATAAATGACCCGATATTGAATACCGATTATAATATCGGCAAAAGAATGTTCTCTTGTGCTTATAATTAGGTAATGCATTTTTTTTCCTAGAAAGGACGGATAGTTCCATTGTTGTCAAAACTAAGATAGATTCTTGTCGACCTAAAATTTTACGGGGAAAACCTAGGCAAAATCAAGACAACAAGCCGCAATCGTATCATAGCAAAATTTATATAGATCACGAACCCAATAGATTAAGAGGATCAAGTCCAATAAGCTCTTTAATGGGTTCTTTTTATTAATTTGTTTATATATATATATATATATATATATACACACACACACACACACACACACACACACACAAGTATCACTTAAACCCATTGGTTATTTTTTACAACACGAGCCCCATCTCTAGCTAGTAAGGTCTAACATCCACTCATGACCCACTAAGCCTAGTCGGGAGAAATAAAATTTAAGGATTTCCATCAACAAATTGACAAAAGACATGCAAACCAAAGACTCTTAACAAGACCCAAATCGTGAAAGAAAACGAGAAAAAATAATCCTATTCAATAGGAAGATCGATTAATGAGTAATTAGTATAAGAATAACATAATTCTAGCATTAATAAAGGCATGATTTAGATTATTAGAAAGAATATGGAAGATTGCATTACAAGAATAACAAAAATGAATGAGAAACATGGTGCATTGCATCGTAAAGAAAAAAGATGAAGGAAGAACATAGAGCAATATAAAGATGTGACAAAGTGTGGAAGAAAGTGGTTCACTTTAGGGGATCATCAAAGAACAAAAGGCCTATAAATAGCAATCACAATAGAAAAAGAAAGGACAAATAACAATATAACACACAAGCAAAACTCTTGTAATTTGTAATCGAGTATAGAAGCACTTCTCCAAGTTTCAAAATACTTGGAACTTGTTAAATTATAACTAGTAGGCGAGTAATATTTAGGTAATAATTTGTAAGCAATAATTAAATAAGTTAATAACTTATAGGTTGGTATCTAGTTCTTGATTCTTGTCTCGTATTTGTAGCAATCATGATCCACCATTCTTTCAAGAAGTTTTAAGCATAGAGTATCAATCGTTAAATAGTCTTCATAATGTAAGTTCCTTATATATATATATATATATATATATATATATAAGATTGAAACATTGTAAAATCTACGAAGTTTTCTTCAAGTATTGTTGAAGGTTTTGAAGGTTTTAAGTTTGTAATTTCTAGATAACTCGTCAATATTGCAACCTTGTTTCTTCATATTTTAATAATTTAATCTTTCGGTTTTCAAGCTTGAATAAACTTTCTTATTTTGATTGCATATTATTATTGGGAATTGAATTTATAGATTATATTAGTTGTTTTTAAGAATTATTATTGAGCCTAACTAGCTTGAATAGATCATGAACTTTTGTCAAGAATTTTTAGACAAACTACAATATGTTTGATTTAGTTTGTTTCTAAGACAAAACATAAAAATCATCATTATAACTAGTGGTTGTATATTAAACATAATTAATTTGGTATATTTATCTACAAGTTTGGAAGATAACCGCATTGCGAACTTTTTTTAACCATTTGTTTAATTCTTTTGTTATACTTATTAGTTGAGACCAACACAAAAGAACCCAAACAAGTTGATATTTTAGATTTGCTCTACGAGTTCGTTCCATCAAATTTAGCTATGACTATATGGTGAAATATATAGGGTGGTATATTTGTAAATATATAAAAAGTAAAGGTTAGTTATTAGAGTTAATTTAACTCGAATTTGTTAGTGGAGTTAGTTTACGGTTAGGCTAGTTAGTTAGCGAGTTAATGAGAATATATAAATGTTATATCTCCGTATTTGTTCAAAGAACAGTGCAAACACCTCTGTAATTTCAAGCATTGAGAAGAATCTAGAATCTCTCTACCCAAATCTTCCTTTTCTACCTTATTTCTTTAATTTCTTGTTTTTGAGATTTCATATGGTATCGAGCAAAATGATCTTTTATAAGGAATTTTTCTTCCGTGATTTCTCATTGTGATTATGACAAACATGAGTGAAAGTGGTGATATCTCAACATTATTGGTGATTGTTTCTAATTCCTAATGCTACCGAGTTTAGACGTACATGGAATGTTTCTTATGAATCAACCTTTGTTAGGAGCTTCAAATTATTTTCCATGGCGCATATCCATGGAAATTGCTCTTGTGTGCAAGAACAAGCTTGCGTTTATCAATGGTTTTGTTCCAAAGCCAAGAGATGGAGATCCAAATCTTTCACGGTGGTAGCGAGTAAATAATATGGTGATTTCTTAGCCGATTAGTGTGGTTTCTAAGGAAATTGGAAAGTCTATACTCCATGGTAGTACTCGTAGTAATTATGTGGTCAAATTTGCATAAATGATTCCCAAACGAGTGTTGGTTCTATAATTTATGGTATGTGAAAGGCAATTTCATCTTGCACCCAAGAGAGTATGAGCATTGAGGCATATTACACCAAGCTTAAGCAACTATGAGATGAATTGAAAGTTGTGACTTACATTTCAATCTATAAGTCAAATGTATAATGTAAGTAAGAAAAGTGTAGGAAGAACGAAGGATATGCGAAGTTAATACAATTCTTGATGGGATTGAATGACAATTTTAAAACCGTCAAAGGTCAAATTTTGCTGATGAAACCTTTGTCGTGTGTTAAAGATGCTTACTTCATGATTCAACAAGAAGAGAAACAAATGAAGATGTCACAGTTCATGCCTATAGAGGATGTAAAAGTTGCTCTTATGAATAGGAATAACATGAGTCAACATCAAGGGTCCTAAAAAGAAGAGGAACATTGGAAATATTTGAGGAAATTTAAAGAAGGTTTAAAGTCATAGTGTTGACTATGGTGAACGGATGCCTAACGAGTTTGCCTCTTAAATAGTCAAGAAGCGAGATATGTTAGTGTTGGAAATACTCCAATGCCTCAAGACAATAATGCCAATGCTACTTTCCAACGCAATCTTTAGTTTACCCCTGATTGAACCAAATACTTAACCTTCTTGTCAAATAGAACCAACCTTTTCCAAATCAAGTTCAACATCCGGTAGGTATAATTCATTGTTTATCTTTGTCACATATGCTAGATGACTAGATTATTGACGAGTGGTGCCACTAATCATACCACTCACTATTTTTCTCTTCCAGAATCACCTATCAAATTGTCCAATCCTCACTCAGTTCATTTGCCCGATGGTTCAATCGCATATGTCTAATGGTTCAATTGCATATGTGACACACACAAGAACCATTTTCATTAATCACTTAATCACATTGCACAATGTTCTTTTTGTTCTAACATTTAAATATTACCTCGTATCTATTGGTGAACTCATTAGAGATTCCGACTACATTATCACTTGCAATTCCAATTCTTGCAATATGTTAGGCGATGTGTAGAAGATAGTCGTGGAAATTGATAGACAATTGAATGGGTTATATTGCATTAATTATGTCAATAAAACACACGAGTCAAAATTTTCTTCCTTAGATCCAATTGTTCAAAGTCATGCCATAAATTCCTTAGATAACTATGTTTTATGGCATCATAGATTAGGCCATGCTTCTTTCAATAAACTTCGACATATCATTTCTATTATTCCGGATTTATGTGATGTAAAACATGAGTCGTAATATCTATCCTTTCGTCGAGCAATCCAAGTTACCTTTCAATAAAAGTGATATTTCTTCTTCCAAAGCTTTTCATATTATTCATTGTGATGTTTGGGACCATATAAGGTTCCAGCACATCATGGTTTTTGTTATTTTTTAACAATTATTTGTGATTTTACTAGAAACACTTGGATTTATTTGATGGTTTCTAAAAATGTCATTGTTGCAATCTTTCTTCAAACTTGTTTAGAACCAATTTCACGGTTCTATTCAAATTATCAAAACTAATAATGGTTCAAAATTTATCAATCCAACCTTGAAATCCTTCTTTCTTGATCATGGCATTATCTACCAAAGTAGTTGTATTCATACCCCACAATAACACGGTATTCCCGAAAAAAAAAAAAAACATAAGCATATTCTTGAAATAGCTAGAGCGATGAGGTTCCAAGCTTCCTTGCATATATAGGTTGAAGGCGAATGTGTGTTGAATGCCACTCATATCATCAATAAAATACCTTCTTCCGTCCTTCATAACAAATCGCCTTTTGAACTTTTATTTCAATCTCTACCTAGTTATGAACATTTGAGATTTTTTGAGTGCTTGTGTTTTATTTCCACCATTGCTCACAACACGGAGAAATTTGATATTTGAGCTACCCCATGTGTCTTTACCGGTTATCCATATGGTCAAAAAAATTACAAAGTTTATGATATAGTGACTCACAAAATCCTTGTCAGCTCAATTTGTTGAATCCATTTTTCCTTTTTTAACTAATACAAATTCTCCAGCTATTGTCCTACCTTTTTCCTCCGACCTTAGTGAATTTGTTATTCACTCAAAAGATTGTGATGATACATTTCTAGCTCATGATCAAATCTAGACTTTTTCTTTTTTTTGTTTCTATTTCTTTTTCACATTCGATCCTTCTACAATTTCTACTTCTTTTCCACATTCCGATCTTTATGTTTCTATCATTCAAAAGCAAAGTGCTTCTTCTTTCCTAACTCATGTGTCCCGAAAGTCGAAAGATAGAAAGTTCCTCCCATATAGCGGAAAGATTATATATATTCCTTCATTTTGTCTACCACACCACCTCGTTCACACATATGTACTCTCACATAATAATTGCATATATCCTATGTCCGATTTCATTTCTCTACGTTCTTCTCCTTCTTCATATCATCACTTTGCTCTTAATGTTGAAATATACAATGAACCTACCTCCTACTCAAAAACCTATCGAATCTAAAATGGAGAGAGGCAATTGCATCGAAGATTAAGGCATTGGAGGATAACCACATTTGGTTTATCACCGATTTACCCTATGGGAAAAAAGTCATTGATCGTAGATAGGTGTATAAGGTGAAGTACGAAACCGATGGGTTTGTAGAAAGATACAAAACATGTTTAATGGTAAATGGATATACACAAACAAAAGGTCTTGATTATCGGGATACATTTGCTCATGTGGCTAAAATAACAATAGTCGGGACTCTTTTGGCTATAACAACGGATGGATTTTAACTCGGTTAGATGTTAATAATGCTTTTTTGCATGAAGATCCGAATGAGGTATATATACATTACCTCCATGTTTTATCGTGACAATGGTAGGAAGACAACTCGTTTACGGATTAGTGAAGTCCTTATATGGACTCAAACGAGCTTCTAGACAATGGTTTTTAAAATTTTCATCTACTTTGATTTCAATAGATTTTACAATCTCAATATGATCATTCTTTGTTCATTAGGACCGATGGAAGTCATTTTAATACCTTGCTAGTTTATGTTGATAATATGGTGATTACAAGAACTAACAAGCAGATTATTGAAGATTTGAAAAGGATGTTGGAATAGAAATACAAAATCAAAGACCTAAGAGATTTGAAATGTTTCTTGGGCATTGAAGTCATCAAGAACAAGGATGCAGTCTACATAAATCAACAAAAATATGCTCGGGATATTATTGCGGATGTTGGACTTTCAGGAGCAAAACTAAGCTTTATACCAATGGAACAAAATCACAAACTTAATGCATCGGATGTAAAGAAATTGGCTGATCTATCGGTATACGGAAGGTTAGTGGAAAGACCGATATACCTCACCATCTCCGGACCTGATTTGACTTATCGGTATATATATTAAGTCAATTCATGTCACAATCTAGAGTACCTCACAAGCTCATAGCTCATAAGGTTTTGAAGTATATCAAGGGTACTTTGGGACAAGGTCTGTTTTTTCTAACAGATCAGGAATTGAAATTAGCAACTTACTATGATGCAGATTAGGCTGCTTGTCCCATGTCTAGAAGGTCCATCACTGGATATTGCATCAAGTTGGGAGAAGCCCTCATTTCATGGAAGACGAAGAAGCAAAATACTGTCTCCAAGTCTTTATCAGAATCAAAATACAAGGCTATGACTTTAGTTTGTTGTGAACTAACTTGGGTTTTGAATTTGTTGAAAGACTTGCAGGTAGATGGATTAACTCCAATACCTGTGGCTTGTGACAATCTGACAACATTGCATATTACTTCTAATCTAGTGTATCACAAAAGAACGAAACATATTGAGCATAACTGCTATCTGGTTCGAGAAAAGCTACAGGTGGGGATGATTGCTTCTAATTACATATCTATTAAGCTGCAAGTTGCAGACTTGTTTACAAAAGCTCTTGGCAAATCTAAATTGCAATTCTTTCTTGGCAATTTGCGTATTTGCAACCTGTTGCAAATTTCCACTTGAGAGGGAATGTTGAAATATATAGGGTAGTATATTTGTAAATATATAGAAAGTTGAGTTAGCAGAGTTAATTTGACTGAGTTTGTTAGTGGAGTTAGTTAGCAGTTAATGAGAATATATAAATGTTCTCTCTCTCCATATGTTCAAGAACCGTGAAAACACCTCTGTAATTTCAAGCATTGAGAAGAATCTAGAATCTCTCTACCCAAATCTTCTTCTTCTACCTTCCTTCTTCAATTTCTTGTTTCTGAAATTTCACACTATATCTTGTCCACCCCACTTCTTCATACGTTCTGTTGTTTGTTCAACCTGTAAGTGGATTTACAAATTAGTATCTTGCCGAACAGGTAAGACTTTAATTTAGTAATTTACCTCTTTTTTCCAGTTGGTTTTGTAGAGCACAATAAAAAGCAGCAAGGTCTGCAAAGCAGTTCCAGCAATCATCCCGCCCCAAAGTCCCTATAATGACTAAAACTATTTAACAATTGAGCAAATTCTAATCAGAAAATTAGAACGAGTGGAACAAAATTTGCTGTACCATCACTCCCAGCTTTGCTTTATATCCAAGCAGGAAACCAAGTGGTATTCCAAAAATATAATAACAACCAATGTTGATGTATGCCACTAATGCTTGCCAGCCACCACCAACAGCAACACCTGTGAGAATGTCCAGATAATCGTTCAAAGAGAGTGGATGGAAGACGAATCGATCGCTGACGTGAATTTTATAGCCCATTCTGTTGGTATTTATATACCTGATATCACTGGCTGAACACTGTTAAGAACCATGGTGATAGCTAGAAGGAATGCTAGTTTAGAGACAGCTACTTGCATATCTTTGCTGCTTGTGAAAATGATGGCAAAGTAATCTTTAGTTATCAACAAAACAACCATGAAAATTAGCCCAATGAGAAGAGATTGAAATACAGTCACATAAACAGAGTATTTTGCTGCTCTTGGATGTCCTAATCCGAGCTCGTTGGAGACACGAACGCTGTCAAGGTAACTTATAATCAAACATTATCATTGTAATTCAGCAAATTTCACACCAGAGATGCAAACTTCTCATACATATGTAATTATGTATGCATTTTATAGACACAGTTGATGTCTTTTACCTTATAGCAGCATTTATTCCAACGAACAACATAACTTCCCATCCATCGATATTCATGCTGAAATATACAAAGAGAAACAAGTATAAGCTATAGCCAAACGCAGAGTTTAAACTATAAAGACGAGATAATGACTCAGTAAAAATGATCATAAACTAACCAGATAGAAAGGGAACCAATAGCAATGACTGCATTATCAAGGTGTCCAGTAAGAATTATAATACTCGTCATATACCAAATCTCCAAGCAAAGCATCACAGCTGAAGCAAGGGAGAGTCTAGCAAAGGCCCAAATATCTTTAAATGCAGACCAAGAAAATCCATGCCACCCTTCCTTACACCAGCCAAAGACATAGATAACTTCAGCCAAAGCAATTCCACCAGAGCTAATGTCAAATGCCACAGCTGCACCGGTGGTACCCCATTGGAACTCATAGATGAAGAGCCAAAGCATAAAAATGTGTACAATTAGACCCCCAAACCCAATCCAAGCAAGTGCATTAACCCTGCTTTGGGCCTGAAGGAACTTTTGGGCAGGGAAATTGATAGCAAGTGAAAATAATTGTGGGATTACTAGAAGAGTGAATTCTCCAGCAAGGTCAGCAATGGTATCTTCTTGGCCAAAAAGTTTAAATATTGGAGTAGCATAAATGTAAATGGGCAAGACGAGTACACAAGTCAACAACAAGATGATCCATGACCTTTGCAAGTAAACACCAAGCATGTCAACTTGACCTGCTCCAAAAGCTTGACCACAAAGGGTCTCCAGTGCACTCGCCATACCCAACATCAAGCCAAAAGAGAAGGTGCTAATGACATTAAGGGAAATGGAAACGGCAGAGAGCTCCAGATTTCCAAGATGGCCAACAAATATAATGGTAAAAGCTTCTGTACCATACTGACATATAATATTAAAGCCTATTGGACCTGCAATCTTCCACATTTTGACAGTCTCTTCCCAAAACACAGACTTTATGGCTTTGAAGCTCCTAGGCGGCAAGTAGTCTCCTCCAGCTTCATCAAGTGATGATCCATTAATCACCATGTCCATCTCCATGGGCAATTAATGGACTTGCTAATTCAGTACAGCTACTCAGGTTCTGCCAATGTCTGTGCTGCAGTCCCCACAGAAAACCCTTATGAGATATTGCCCGCAAAGGCTCTCCAAAAGTATACTAAAACAGGGACCGTAGTTTGCCACCTAGTTACTATTCAAAAGCCCCTTTGATTTACATCCGATAATTAAACAAGGGGAAGGTCTTGATGAAAAACAGAATTTTGTGTAAATTAACGTGCATTTTCTGTACTATTGAAACTGATTAATTAAGCACACCCTCCTCTCCTTCTCATCCTGGGTGTACCCAGGACTTCAAGAACCAAAAAAGAGGCCTTACTAAGAATAATGAGAATTTCAAGAACCGAACAAGATACTCTAGTTAGGCAAAAATAAGAAAGAGGTCTTACCAAAATCAAGCAAAGGCCCCAGATTGCTTTCAATATTCTTCAGCTCCAAACTTATCTCGGTATGCCGTTTTGCATATGAGCGAGGTAAGGTTTGCACCTTTCCCTTTATAGAAATTGGATTTTGGAAAGGAAACGGGTGCGTCATTCTCCTACTTCATGTCGATCACGTTTCCTCGAAAATGGATCGAAAGATTAGCCCAAAAAAAGCATTAAATGATCCACGTTAATTTTTTTTGAAGAATAAAAGGATACAACGAGAGATACTAGAAGTAAAAAGTCACATTAAAAAATTATGTTTCATTATTTAAAAAAATAAAATAAAATAGGTTTTAACGATTCATAGCATTATTCACATGCTCACATATCACAATTTATTTTATTATTCATAATACTATTCATATACTTATAAATCATTATTCACATACTCATAAATCACTGTTCCTTTTATTATTCATAACGTTTTTATAATACTTTGATTCTTAATTTTTCTATATATATTTTTTTATTTTAAAATTCAATTGTATTGTGATTTGATTTTATTTTATTTTAATATTTTTTAATTACTTTTATTATTTAAAATTTAATACTTTAATTTATCTTTTTATTATTATTCTTGTCCAATTAATGTAAAATTATATTTACTCGATAGTTTTGATTTATTTTTCTATATGTATAGATTTTGAAATAAATTTTTAGAACATGATTATTTTTTCTTTTGAAAAATAGATTTAGATAATTTTTAAATTATAGTGGCATGATTAATATATATAATTTGTCCGAAATATATTTTTAGATTAAAAGCATATTCAAATAATTTTTTCTCGATTTAAAAAAAATCAAATTAGTTAATTAATAATTGAAAGTCAAGTGTGAAAAAAAAAAAAAGATGGTTGCTCTGCACGTGAGGCTCGTATTCAAGGACTAGACCTATATAGTATTGAAATAAAAAATTATTTCGAAGGAGAAAAAAAAAGAAAAAAAATTCACATATTTTATTTGTTTCTTCTTAATATGACCTGGATTTATCGAAATTAATTTTTTAATAATTTTTATTTTATTCTATTAACTTCAAATTTAGTCAATATATTCCTTATAAGTTAACTTTATATATATATATATATATATATATATAATGTTTTTTTGTTTTATGCTAAAAAGCAAAAACTCGAACTCACTTAGTATAGTTGTGATGTATAAAAAAAATATTGGATCGTTGTTTTTTTAGAAATTATCTATACAACTACTACTACACTAAGCATTTACTATTTATTTATTTATTAGTATTTTAAAATTAATTTATTTTAAATTAAATAATTAAAATTATGTTTTACCTTAACTACTCAATGATTCAAATTAATATATTTTTTATTTTAATATTATCCAATCTTTTATGAATAAATATATAAAAATTAAATTCACATTCTTTCAAAAATCGATATTCTCATTAGCATTAAATAAAAATAAAAATAAAAATAAAAAATAATTTTTTTTATTTTTTCAATTCTATATAAGTTTTTATTAATTGTTATTTTAGTTTTTTTTGACACAATTTAGTTAATAATCTATGAATTAAAAAGATTAAATCATTTTTCTAAAGAAAAATTATGAAAGACACAAATAAAAAATTGTTAAATATAAAATTTTGATTAAAAAATTATAATTGTTTTTTTTTTTTTACTTTTGATTTCACATATTTTTATATATTCATGTCACAACAAAGACTATCAAACTAAAGTAATTTTTTTAAAGTAAGTTCATATATTTTATCTGACTTGCAATATAGCATCGATAAAAAACCTAATAATTAATTTTAAAAAAACATGCGTCTACTAAAAATTGCTGGATTCTTTTTTAGATCATCAAAGTAAAATGAGAGGGAACTGCGCCATGTTGCCGGCCTTTTCCTTTTTACTAACTTAGCACAGAGTTTTGATGGGCCTGTTTCTCCGGGTTGATCTTTACATGCAAGGAAAAATGCCCTCCAACTTTTCCGAACTGATTGAACTGATTTCGGTTATAAATCTACCTACCTCACCGCCGAAACCAAATTTTACTGGTCAAAAAATCAGGAAACAAAGATAAATACACGAGGAAACATAACATTTCAGCTTTTTTGGCAAATGACGGCCATGCATAACAAACACTTTAACCAGTTACCAACACCACTTTGCTTTTCTTTCTCTCACATTTGGCATTTGAGTTCAAACATATTGCACCAACTATTTTCCCGTACAGGCTTTTGTCTGGTTCTATTGGTCTATTTTCTTAACACTGATTTTGTTTAGTAGTTTCTAATTCAAATTTATTTCCCATAACTAAATTATGAAAACTTTGGATTTTACAAATATTTTTCTTTCTTTCTGCAAAATTAAAATAAAAAGAGAGTGGGAATGTGACTACGTCACCCTCTTTCAACATGCCCAGTTAAAAAATATATAAAATATAAGTAGATTTATTCTATTGGTTATTGGTTGTGTATTCAACTAGCTTTCCTTAAATTTCGAGACCTGGTAACTCCAGTTCTACTCTAAGTCAACTGGACCTCCTATATATATATATATGTTGGGCCTCCAAAGATCAGATCCTGCAAGAACAATTTTTGTCTTTAAATAATTGAGCTGTATGCAAGCTTAATTGTTTGCTGCCAAGGACACACATCAAAGGTAGATCATAAGTTCAAGATCTTGAATAAAAACACTTGAGAATTAAAATAAAATATATAACTCCATCTGTTTTAGCAGTTAGCACTCTATCGTCTCTTCTTCTTTTCATGAACAACCAGCTATTGTAAATAAAACCAATCTGCAAGAGATAAGCCAATAAATTTAATTAAATATATATATCCATTAATCATACTAATTAAGTGATAATGCTAATGGAATAGATTAGTGTATTACCATATATAGTTAGAGGGATCAGGAATGGAAAGACTGAAATCCTGAAGGTTGGGTTGAATAGGCTGAACACGATAAGGTTGGAAGCACTGTGGAGGTAATGGAGCAAGTTGGAGCAGACTACTAATTGGCTGATCTTCATCAAAAAACTGGAATTGCTCAAACATTCTCTGCTGTTCATCTGGCTTCACCATTGTTGCAGCTGCTTGTTGTTGCTCCAATGCTGCAACTTGATGCTACATCGAATGGAAAGCAATTAATTTATCTGTTACTCAAATGGTTCAAAAGTGTAAATTCATGAAAAACTAGAGTTGAAGAATCAAAATTAGAGGGTTTTTTTTTTTTTTTAAGTATGCTTACAAGTACATTAATTAATGAATCCAAATATAGATGAAAGACAATGTGATTAGGCCTAAAAAGAAAAAATCATTTACGTACCAGGTGGCACTGTATTTGCTGATTTTCCTCCTCCAACATTTTCTCCTAACACGAAAAGAAAATAAATTACAAGTAACATAAGAACATAAAGCCCTAGTAAATCTAGAAAAGATAGATGATGATGAATGGTTTACCTTTCTTCGCAGATTGTCCACCTGCTGTTCCAAAAGCTCAAACTGCATCCGGTATAAAGATGATTTTGATTATTTATTGAACTTTTAGACATTTTCAAGGACTTAAATGTTTACCAAAGATTTCCTTTTTTCCCCATTTGCTTCGGTCAGTCTAATTAGCTATGCTTTTCTGCAAATTCTTGGCCTAATATACATGCTGGCATTGTTTAATAAAGCATAAAAAATGCCTTTAATTTTGTGCTCAATTAAGAGATCAACAGAATCTTTATTCATGAAATGAATCAATACCTTCCGTGCTCGAACGTTGTTAGCTGAGCACTCCAGCTGCTTTTCAAGTTCAACCAAATCATTATAGTGCAAGGAACTCAAGTTTTCACCTTTGTAGCATCGCACGCTCAACTGAAGATCATCCGTCTCTTTCCTGATTCTTTTCAGTTCCTTCTGAACATGTTCCTAAAACGTTAAGACCAAGACATCAAAACCTTAATCTTGTTAACAGAGATATATTTATATATTTCAGACATGTATATGGTAAAGACAAGTTTGTACCGAGTCGTTGCTTTCTGGAACACGCATTCCTTTCGAAATTTCATACCTTTTGATGATGTGTGGTATGCTGCATGTATCAGTATAAAATGATAATAGTTTTCATTAGCTGAGTAAATATGATTCCTTCGAACGGATCATGTATCAGTATAAAATGATAATAGTTTTTTTTAGCTGAATAAATATGATTTCTTCAAACAGAACAAGATTATGTTCAACATCACATCAGTTGCATGTTTTTTTATGAATAACATGTAAAAGGCTAAAAGGTAACAACTTTCTTAGAATTCCTTAGAAAAAAACTTCAAAAACATTAGCTAATTATAGTATATATGTTTTGAGATTATGAAGAGCAGGAATCTAACTTTTACTTGCTATCCTTGCTAAGCCTTTACTGCTGTTATTTTTCTGATCTCTACATCTCAATGATGTTATGGTTGAAATTAAATAAACGAAAATGTTTTTGCTTATGTTTTAGGCTTGGACATATTCTTACTATTTAATTATCATTTGAATCTGTCGAATGCTAACTAAACTCTAGTCCTAGTAAATTTTGGAAGAAAAGGCTAATTGGCCCTAACATCTCTTACAGCATAAGTTAAAAAAACTAACGAAAAAATATATGCTTGACTGAAAATCTTTATTTCCCCTTTCTCCTTTCTAATGTTATTCATCACGAACATGATCACGCTTCCTGGGAATTGTAAGTACTGAAAACCCAATTAATCAACATAATTAACAACATCATAAACACAATTATTTGATCATCTTATATACAAAAACAGATCTAGAGGAAGAAATAAGAACCAGCAAACACACAAATAGGGACTCTACCATTACCATTTGGGCCTTCCTAAGGACTAAATTATGTACAAAATGACGAGTCAAAATTAAACAGAAGTCACTATACAATTGTGGCAAGGCAGAGATGATCATCACGAAGCTACATTATAGTGATATATATGGACCTGTAGGAATTTAGAGGTAAACAAGGTGCAAAATTGAGTCATTGATGGCCAAACTTTGGATCTTGCATGAGGCTAAAGGAGCTACGAGAACTTCCCAATTAAAGACAAATTAATATCAGCTTTGGAAGAGGACTTGCAGGGTTAAAAGATAACAAGAAGTGATCAAAACATCTGATGCAAACATGATAAAACAACATAAAAGTAAACGTCTTTGAAGAAAATAGCATTCATCTCGTGGTAAAATTAGTTATACCATCATAGAACTCATTTTTCCTCCAAGAAAACATTAGCTGACACCTTTAAATCCATCACGGTTTAATAGATACAAATCAAACCATTTATATCATTATGGTCATGTTCTGTATTTTTCTTCTTTACCTGGATGACTCACTGCAGAATTGAAAAAGCTTCCCATTGCTTGAGAAGATGATGAGTCCAATTTCTGCATCACAGAGCACAGAGAGCTCACGGGTCTTCTTTAAAAGCCCTACTCTGCGTTTGGAAAATGTGACTTGCCTGGCTGTTCGGTTCTCAATCCTAGTTATTGCTATCTTTCCTCTTCCCATGTTTCAAAGTGTCTTCTTCTCTTGTTAGGAAATACTATGAAAAGGAAATTCCGCCCTCTTTGGTGCACCTCACTTAATTTCCTGGCAATGTCAAGAGGGGAAAAAACACAAAACTTTAGCACTTCTGAAAGGTAAAAACTGTGCTTGATGGCACAAAAATAATGGGTTATGATTTAGGGAAATAAATGTTAACTAGGATGCATGCTATAAGTGCAGTACTTTTATGAAGATGGAAAATTATTAATGAAGCACTAATTGTAATGAGAAGTGGAAATTTAGTTTCTAAAAACCCTAAAGCTGACAATGAGTATTTTTGGTAGCAGATGGGAGCTAGAGATCAGAAAATCAGAGAGAGAGGAGGAGGAAAAGTTTTGTTTCTTTGGTTTTACCTTTACTTTCTTCTCTGTTTGTTCAACTTCAAGTTTGATTAACTTTATATATATTGACTATACAGGCCATGCTATAACCTTCTCTAGTCATCTATATCATGCCATTTACCGAAGTGCCTCTCTTGCTTTAATTCAATTATTACCTCTGGAGGAGAGAAAAGGAGAGACCTTAGATGTATGCATGTGTTCACATGCAGAAAATTCGTAATTTTACATAGGATGTGTGCACGTCATTACAGCGTCATCCAATTACACAGTTTTGGTCCATAAACTCAAATCATGTAATAACTTTCCACGTATCTCAATGTCAGATTTTTGTGGCTATCAAGTCGTGTTTTTTTTTATCCGATTGAAGAAACGTAGTTGATGTTAGTACATGAAAGCTATTCCAAAATAACCAAGACATGTAACATTAGTCATTGTTTTAATTATGCAGATGCAATTTCTAAATAACCAAGATATGTGATATTAATCATTGTTTTAATTATATAACAGATGCAGTTAAAAAAACAATTGTGATCATAATTATGAGTGACGGTTTATTACATTAGTAAAATAATGATGATAAAAACTAATGTCTTGAATACATTAACTGTTGTTAATAACTTTATTTTAATTTACATATTTTTAACAATTTTATAAATTAAACATAATAGTATCTCGTGAGCATTCTGTAAAGTGCAAAGTTCGAAACTAAAATTTTAATTTTTTTTTTAATATAATGATAAATAATGACATTATATAACAATAATGTCGTTATTCGTTGTTATTTACGTTAAACAAATACAATATCTATTCAACGTCAAATAACGATAATATAGTGTTCCGAAACCGTTATACAATAACTATTATTTTACGTAACAATTGTTATTTGAATATATGATATTAATATTAATGATTCATACAAGTTACTTCCTTGCTGGAATTTTTTTTCCTGGTGTTGTAGACACAAAACAGAAGATCCAATTTTCAATTTTATGCTGATTACTTTTTGTTATTATAATTTCGTACCTCCTAGCCTTTCTGGAAAGAAAAAAAAAAAAGTCTTATTCTAGTTTATTATTCTAATTTCTACACCGATCGAGGAACGCAACATTCAGGATTTCATTGGGAGCCAATGGGTGGCCGCAGACTGTAGCACAATCCATCAGTCTAGCTCAATGTTATGCATAGCATGATATGATTCTTCCATTGTCTTCACATGGACTGGCAGAGAAGAACAAAATTCTTACGCCATCTTGTGACTTGTGACTGTTAACCACTCCTGCCCTGTCATGCATGAAACCTTAGCTTTATGAAATTTGCCAAATAAGGGAAGGTCTAAGTTTTGAATGAACAAACATGCTTGCTATGCAGGGAAACCCACGAAGAGGTTGGGCCCAATTCCTCTTCCCTATGGAAAAGACAAACTGTATGTATCCCTGTCAAAGCCAGAGCACTCATCCTCGTCACTTAGTCATTGCACATAATTGCATTTTGTTAAATTGATCAAACTTTTAAGGGATTATTACAGTGCCAATGCATTGCATCCTCCAAAGCTGATGGATCATGACAACTCCTGGATGTTTCTGTTTAAATTCAATGGTTCCGAAATCATTAACCATATTGTATTAAACTTTTCTCAGATTCTCCTAATCTTTGACCTTAGGGGTGATATTAACTTGTTTTTACCATCCTTCCATGCTCGAAGATCTAGCTAGTTTCTTGTGGGTGGGCTAGTAAAGATGATGCTAATTGCTTTATTGGTTACAATTAGAGAACCCCAAGTCCCTATTTAGCAATTAATCTACTTACCATGAAAGGAGAAACCGCCCTTGAATTTTAGTCCTTTTGAACATGGCTCGATTATCAAAATAAGAGAGAAAAAAGAAACCGTGTAAACATTTTCTAGAGACGATAAGAATAGCAAGATCCATAGGGAACCAGATTTGTGCACCTCTGTATGAAAGTGTTTCTTCCTATATTGCATAGAAGCTCAAACTAAATAGGATTTTAAATTTGATGATATATATTGGTAATAAACCTTAGTTATAAAATTAATTAGATCATTATTATTTTTTTCTTCTCCCGTTAGGGTCTGGTACAATTGAGATGAGTATAAAAGGAAGGAATTGACATCAATGTGTTCAGCTAATGTGAATTGATCAGATGGTAGTTGTTGAGAAATTTTACTCTTGGTTGTTTTCTTTAATACTACCTTGAGCAAGAAGGAAATGAAACACAAAAATTTTGGATTGGTTTGTTCAATATATAATTGACTTTAATAAAACATATGTAATTTAGGCTTTATATATATATATATATATATATATATATATATATATATATATATATATTCACACGTAATGAGATATTTTCGGTTTAGTTTTTTCATCGATGAAAATTAAGTTTATAATTTTCTAGATTAAATCAATGTAAGAATATGTTTAACTTTGAATCGATTATTAAACTGTTTTTTATTTTTTATCAAACTGGTCCAAGCTTGTTTCAATAATTTCTTAACTTAATTCATAACTTGTTTTTATCTGCTTCCTACTCGTTTCTACCTATAATAGAATATAATCGTAGAATTCATATTAAAAAAACAGACAAACAAACTTTAGCTTGATTTGTTTAAGAATCTAAGATCATTTGTACCTACTTTCTATTCTGATTTTCTTTAACTCATTATAATTTGGAGCACTTTGCGAAAATGCTATAGAACAAATTAATGTCGTTTGATTAATTAATTTGGCTCTGATGTTTATACTGTATACTACCATTCGATTTCTGATCATGACAGAACAGGCAAACTAGTTTTTTTTTTTTTTTCAATTTTATTTCCCCCTCTCTAGCTGCCCAAACTTGAACATTTTCTCTTTTTTATGTATGACTGGCAACCCAAATTTGCTGTTGGAAAAAGTCTGCAAGGACCATGTGAACAGTGGAGTAAATTAATAAGTTGAAGTGGACGTAAAACTGCTTCTAATTTTAGACAAATAATTATATGTTCATATTATTCTTCTCTCTGGATGCAGGTCTGGCTCGATCAATGATGACTTTACAACAGTTCTCCATGTGTTTACTAACTTGAATATAAATCAATTTAATTATTAGTCTTTTGCCTAAGGTTATTTCCTTGGAAGAAAATCCTTAATTCATGACATCTTTTGCAGTAATTAATACAGGCATTTCTTAGATTAGTGTTTGTGTATAATGTTTAATTTGAACTAAGTATTCAAATAACAAGGCCTACCGTGATTCTGGTTCGATGTTTGCAGGTTTGCTTTATGCCTTCTTAATTCAAGTCCATTCACCCTCAATTAATGTATTCTGTCTTTCAAAAGAATGGGAAGAAAGAAGAGACAAGACCAACTTTTTTTTTTTTTAACATAATTGTGTGCTTAGGTTGAAGAATACTGGTAATATATTGAAAAATTAGTCTATGTACGAGATGAAACTGAATTAGATACAACTCATATAAACAAACTCTTAAAAAATTATTTCAGTAGTAAATGTTTTTGAATTTGAATCTTTGTGTATGTGAAAAACTCGTAGGTAATTATCTTTTTTTTGTGTATCCGATCGAACAAGTAATGAATTAGTTTGGATGTTTACGCCTGAAATACATTAGAAGATCCAAATAAAAAAAAATATTTGGAAAAAAATTCAAAAAAAAAAAAAAAAAGCCACCAAACCCCAATACCAACCCAAAAATTACCACAGGTATAAATATGCCAAATTTTATTCTTTTTTTTTTTTTTTCCCTCGTGTCTGAGATGGGCTAGATCTTTTTCAAGTTAACATCATAGCAAGGGAGAGTTGTTTGATTCCTTGCCCAAGTGAGATATTTGATGTTGACAATAAGATGTAAATTAATTAAACCGTGTTGTGGGTGGGACGAAAGAGTCAACCATTGCTTCCAATCTGAATTTTGTTGACAAGTTTTGTGACTATTGGCTTTCCTTATGTGAACTATATATTATTGAAGAAGAAGTTATTAGAAGATTGACCTTGCTAATTCATCATTTAAGATCATACACCAAAACCATAAAAATCTAAACAACAACTTAATTATCGACATGATGCATATATATAACCTAAATTCCCAATTTAAATAAACGTCCAAGTCTGATATATATCATTGGTTCTCAAGAAGCTTATCATGCAGTTTATGAGGACCCTTTGCCTACTATATATATATATATCATGTCTTTACGGAATATAGAGCTTGGCAATGCTCGATTCAACTTACTCTACCAGAGAGTAATATATTTTTGTAACGATTTCGTGGCTAAATTAGGTTTTAAGGCTGATTCTCGCCTTCAGATATGGAACATTCGATTCCTGTTCACATAAGCCAGCTTGCAGACTTATTCCAAAAGAAGATGTTCAATTTTTAGGGAAAAATAAAAGAAAAAAGAAGGAAACATGCATGCATCATCCATGAATGAGTTATGATCAGTACCTTGACTCGTCAAGCATGCTAGCTGATTCTGTAAGTCTACAATTCAGGGACCTTGTCTATTCCAATATGTAGTTCTCATTCAAGCCCCAAAACCCTAGCTAGCCGAACCCAGAACTACTCAATCCATAACGTGATCTCGGACAACCTAATTATGTGTCTGTTTAGTTCTGTTGTGCTGCATTTAGTGCTTATTTAGTATTAATGTGCTCTTATTCTAAAACTAGTGTCTGATTAATATTTATTTTGCTTTGAAACCAAAACAGATCGATGACACTGTGAAAATAACAATGGCTATTATGGGATCTATTTATCAAAAATTAAAATAACAACTTTCTTCTCTAATTGTTTTTTTAAATTAGTTATTCTAAAGATACTAGTGTCTTATGTAATTATATTTCGAAATTCTTTTTTTTTTTTCATATATAATTGAGTTTATTAAAACGATGTGCATGGATATATGATCATTCCATTTAATTGCTTTTTTAATTTTAGATTTTTGAACTTAAAAATTACTCTCATAAAAGTTAAATTATTTAATATATAGGAAATATAATTGTTAAAATATTTTTACTTTTATTTGTTAGTATATTATAGTTTTTATTGGTCACTTTATATCTCAAAAGCGTAAAAATATAATTCAACAGACAAAGTTTGGCTGCTTTAAATATTTATAAGCAAAGCACAATAACAAATTAACAAATATTGCTTTGATTTCATAGCACAGTAATTAGTTAACAAATATTGATTTCATCAACTACAGCACAACTTAACACAACAACGCCAAACATATGTCTTTATTGTGTTGTGATGCAGAAAAATCAAAATATTTGGCAATAAACTATAGTGTTGTGTTATGAGTAATTTTATTGTTGAGCTATTTAAATTAAAATGATCAAAAAGTACTTATATTTAACATAAGTTTTTTTAATTAAAAAATTAACACTAATTTTAAAATTTAGAATGTCACATTAATTTAATATCATATTTGTATTTCTATTTATTTCAATTTAAAAGGCCTCTAAAAATGAACTTATTTATATATTTTATATCATAAATAGTATATAACAAAATAAAATATTTATCAGTCCCTCAAACTCAATCAATATCAATAACATCGTGACTGGTTAGGCTTGGTTAAATTTTGTTAGAAAAGTAGCTCATTCTCAGCAAGCCGATAATAATCGATCCCATTTCTTTCATCGGATCGTTAATTAATATTTCTAATTATGTACATATTCCAAAAAATAAAAAAAATGCAAGTTCCCTCTTAATTAAAAATTATAGTATTTATATTCGTAGATATAAGGTTGAGAACCTGAAATAATAATCCTCGTAATATTATATTAGATATCAAGGTAAATGTATACTATCGAAAATTTTATAAGTTGTAATTTTTTTAAAAAAATTAAGGTTATTTTTGTCGTTTGAAAATAATAAACAATCTTTCATCTAAAAAAACATAGTGGAACCTAATATGCCCTATAAATTGGATCACCTTCCACTTTTTAAAGTTAAGCAATAGAGTTTAAGTTGTTTACCAAACATTTACTTTAAATTTTCAACTGCTCTGCTTTAAAGTAAAATCAAAAACTAGAAAAGCACATGACCAAATATGTTTTATTTTTTCCCCCTTAATTTGCATGATGTTTTATCTATTATTCATAAACAAAAATTATGTTATCTATTCCTTTCTATTGTAGGCTAAAAAAAATTTGATAAAGTATTTCATTAATAAAATAAATAAATAAATAAAGAGCTTTTGGTTAGAGAAGAGGAGAAATATAAAACAAATATGTATCCAAATCAAGATCATTTCTAATGCGAAAATGACTTGATAATATTTCACCTTATGTAAATATCTAAAACCAAAAGGTATTCAAATTAAAATTTTACATTACTTTAACCTTCCAAAACTTAACTTGTTAAAAATTGCCTCTGTTAATAATAATAATAATAATAAAAGGTTGTATTACATCAGATTACTTGCTCATAACCATCTTGTAAATAACTGCTGTAAATAATTGTCATAGATGTACTGAGTTTGAAATTCAATAAATAAAGATTGATGATAACAAAGGAGAAGAAATTCAATTCTGTAAAAAAAAAAAAGAGGTTAAGAAAGAAAAATCATTAGACAAAGGAAATGATCATAGATGTGAATAAAAGAAAAGGAAAAGTTTTTACAAATATTACAAAGAGAGAGAACACACGAAAGTTTTGATTTTGATTGATTTATCTTCAAAAAAAAATAAAAAATTTAAATATCAACACAAAACGTATGAAAAGACACTTAATTATTATAATTTTGGTTGGAAATTACAATTTAGAAGCAAAGAGAAGTAGGAGTGGCCTCCGACTCTCTTCTATCTAGGAATGGCAAAATGACCCGACCCGAGGTCACTCCGCCCTGCCCCGCCTTGTAATTTTTTTGGACAGAGATGAGATTTGCCAATCCCGTCTCATTTTGCTCAGTCAATAGTGACTTATAGTAAGTCACCCGACACTTGGGAAACAAAATTATGCAAATTGTGTGTGCTCATTATAAAATCTGTCAAAACGGAACAAAATGAGGTGGACACAAATAGTAAAATGAGGCTCTGTTTGCTCCGCAGGGATCCCCGTCCTCGTTTAGGATGGAGATGGGATGACAAATTCTACCCCATTCGAGATACAGGGGCGGGGATGAAAAATTTTTTAAGAGGGCGGGCCGGGGATGGGGATGGCGCCGTCCCATTGCCATCCCTACTTCTCTCTATTAGTATCGAGTAATTAAAAGCCCATTAACCCTACTATGAACCCAAATATTTTCGATAAGCAGAACAGAAATTGATTGGCCCAGGCTTGAAAATCAAGAAGTTATAAATTCTGGGCCCCCAATAACACCAACGTAGATAGAAGTGTAACTAATTCCAACTATTAACTTTCTTCTTAAGAAAATGCGTAATGCTAATACACCCGACATAATTCAGCCAATCAAAAATCGCCCAAACCCATTAGCAAAACCCACTGTAAGATAAAACCCAATTCATTTTCTTCATCTCCGTCTTCTTCCACCGATCTGTCACTCCCCCAAACAGAATACCAACACTCCATTTCTCTCCGCTTCAAATTCAGGTAACTAAATTTCAATCATCTCAATTCTCTACTGTCGGATCTTTCTTAATGTCAAATCTCATTGTTGATCCATCAAATTTCAATCCACGATCTCCTTATGTTTTTATTAGCTCACTAGCACTTATAAATCAGATCTGAGATTTTAAATAGTTGAAATCTTGTTTTTCCTTCGTTTTCTCAGAATCCAAGCAGACCTGTTTGGTGATCTCGCTGTTTATGTAGATCTGAATTTGCCGCTTATTTAATCACGTAGATCTGTGAAATTAAAATTTTGATTAGTTAAAATTCTTATTTAATTTATTTTTATTTGTCCTGCAGGTGTTGATTTCTGTGTCAGTTACTCAAGATGGTAATATCTTTTTCTTTTCTGCTTGTTTTTGAATTAACTATAATATGTTTTTTTTTTTTCAAATTTAGTTTTGATTTCGGTTTTATTCGTAATGTAGGTTGTGCTCGCAGCTTCTATAGTGAGCAAGAATGGTAAAGGTGAGTTTCTAGTGTTATTTCTTTTTATCTTTTTAACTGTGTTTTCTTAAATTTCGAATGCAATTAGTTAATAATGTTTGGTGTGTTTTATTTTAATCTGAATTAACTTTTATTGTTATAATGCACTTAAATCTGTAAAGCACACAGCGCTTGTTAATGATTTATTACTAGTTATAAACTTGGTATGCAAATATTCAGAATTACCATTGTACATATATGTTTTGCTCAGATTTGAGCATTGTGGGTCCTGTGTCTATCCATGATCGAAAGTCCTATCATGTGGGACTCATAAATGTTGAAATTTGAGCAGAAGATGTATCGGTGGTCTTCCATTTGTTGAGCTAGCTAGTTGGTGTTAGTAACTGTATTTTTGTAGTGAGGCATTTTTGTTTTGTGTGTTCCCCTGCTTGATATTTTTTTGGGGTTTGCTTGCAGTGCTTGTTTCTAGGCAGTTTGTGGACATGTCTCGGATAAGAATTGAGGGGCTTCTTGCTGCTTTTCCCAAGCTGATAGGCTCTGGAAAGCAGCATACTTATGTTGAGACTGAGAATGTGCGTTATGTTTACCAGCCAATAGAGGCTATGTACTTGCTGCTTGTGACGAGTAAACAGAGCAACATTCTTGAAGATTTGGACACACTAAGACTGCTCTCTAAACTGGTATCTTTATTAATTTTTTTTTTTTAGTTTAATTTTCTTACAGTGGGACTTTAAAATTGTCTGTACTCTATATTGGATGCTTAGGAGTTGAGTTGACTTCTGGCTATCCCCTTTTATTTTGCATACAAGCTCATAGCTGTTACGTTTCTTTATCTTGTAATGTTTGATAGCTCCTTATGCTATTCTTACAAGATTTTAAAAGCTTTGAAGAATGAGTTGCTTTCTATGATATTCATTACATTAATGTACCTATAGAGGCTTTAAGTTGATTCCTTAAGTTTGCTTTTAGGTACCTGAGTATACCATGTCTCTTGATGAAGAGGGTATTTGTCAGACAGCTTTTGAGCTGATCTTTGCATTTGATGAGGTCATCTCTATTGGGCACAAGGAAAATGTTACTGTTGCACAGGTTAAGCAGTACTGTGAGATGGAGAGTCATGAAGAGAAATTGCACAAGCTGGTATTGCAGAATAAAATTGATGAGACCAAGCGTCGTATGAAGGAAGAAGCCAGTAAGATTGACCAGATGAAGGTATCTGTTTATAGCTCCACAAGGCATATCTGAAGATTTATGTTCTGTATAAAGTGCTATTAATATCTCTCCTTTATTTATTTATTTATCTTTTTGGTGCAGATTGAAAAGAATAGAGGTGGTAAAGGAGGATTCATGTCTTCAATGGGCTCTGGAAGAATTGAGGGTGGCTTTAGTGATATGAGCATTTCCAGTGGCGGGGGAGGTGGTTTTGGAAGTGGCTCTGGTTTTGGATTGACCAGTGATATTGACTCATTTGCCATCAAGCCTAAAGGTTTGTTTTTTCTTTTCTGAGCGAACTATATCTGTTGCTTCTGATTTTGATAACTAGCAGATTAGTTTTATGTCTGGCAGATGACTAATTTTTATAGGTATGATTTGTAATAATTTTTCAATTTACTTAGAAAATTTGTTCTATGCTTAAACATCTTGACCCGGTTTGAAATTCCTTAACCATGAGGTTATAAATCTTCATCTAATTAATTCCACTGGCCGCAACCCATTTTTGAACATTAATATTGTAAATGTCTCTGAAAAATATGGGTCAAGTATTGGGGAGCGTACTTTGATTGAATATATCTGGCATGACCAGGTCGTCAACCTTCATCTGCCACTGCTCCTCCTAAAGGCCTTGGCATGAAGCTCGGCAAAACCCAAAGGGCAAACCAGTTTTTGGAATCCTTGAAAGCAGAAGGTGAAATTATTGTTGAAGATGTGCAGCCATCAAAGTTGAACAAACACACATCAACCGCTCAACAACCAACTGATCCTGTCACTTTGACTGCCGAGGAGAAACTAAATGTCACTCTAAAACGGGATGGTGGAATGAGTAACTTTGATGTTCAAGGGCAATTATCACTTCAAATTCTTAACCAAGAAGATGGGCTCATCCAAGTTCAGGTCCACCATCTGTCTCTTTCTCTCATTTACTCTCTCTGTGTATGCATGATTTAGGTTAAAAAAATGTGATTGATTATGAAAAAGAAATATTTTATGTTTCGTCAGGTGAGAGATGACTTGGCATCCTTGACTTAAATTATGAGAACTTTTAAGTTTGTACTGGGAAATTTATTGTCCATCATCTCATTTATGTGAGCAAAGGGGCTTCTACCTTCTTCTTTGGTTTGCTATTGTTTTTCTTGGCAGAATGCTGTTTTGTCCACACCAGCCACATGGATTTAGTATTGGTCTTTTTCAACTAACTAGAATTTACATAAACATCTGAAATGCTTCCACGTAATCAAACGAAGTTGGTTCCTTAATTTGGTCTATATTATCTGCCACCAGGGTGGGATGTAGGTTGGACCATTTATAGTAAATCTAACTGTCCCATCTCATGAATAAACTGCTTTTGGATAGGTTGTTTCTATGTCTAATAATGGCTTCTTAGCATTTACAGATAACTAGAATTTGATACCCACTATCAGACATTGAGTAGCATGTGTATACCTGGCTTTGGTTTTGAAGTTATTGCGGTGGCTTCTATGCTTGGTCTTATTGACATTATAATGCCCGCTTTGTTTTGCAGATTGAAGCTGGGGGTAATCCAGGTGTCATTTTCAAGACACATCCTAACATGAACAAAGAGTTATTTGCTAATGAAAACATTTTGGGTCTGAGGGATCCCAACAGACCTTTCCCCACTGGTCAAACTGGGGATGCAGGTGTTGGTCTTTTGAAGTGGAGAATGCAAAGTGCTGATGAGTCAATGGTGCCCTTGACAAGTGGGTACAATTCTGAAGCAGCAGCTTATCTGATCGCTGTATACTTTCTGCTGTATGTTCTAATTTTATGTTTAATTTATGCATATTGCAGTCAATTGCTGGCCATCTGTTTCTGGAAACGAAACATATGTCAGTATCGAGTATGAAGCTTCATCAATGTTTGATCTGCGAAATGTTGTGATCTCGGTTCCTCTCCCTGCCCTTCGAGAGGCACCAAGTGTTAGGCAGATTGATGGAGAATGGAAGTAAGAATTTTGGAGTTCTGCTCTCTATTCTATTCTTTCATTGTCATATCAGGTTGAAGTTTGTTTGGTGGGGATCCATAAGTTGGGTGGAGTAGAAGTCTCATCTAATACTGATGTTTTTGCTCTATTCCATTCTTTCATTGTCGTATCAGGTTGAATTTAGTTTGGTGGGGATCCATATGTTTGTTGTGTGTTGGTTTTTTTTGTGGGGGGTTGGGGTTGGGGTTGGATATCTCATCTGATACTGATGTTTTTCTTTCGTTTTTTATCATTTGGCTTTTACTAAAGTGAGATGAAATTCATTAAAGTATAAAGTTAGAAATTTATTTGGAAATGTCTGTTAAGTGAGGTGCTTTTGCTTTTTTCTGTAAAATTAATTTTCATCACAAATTAAATTAAAAGGCAGAAAGATTGCGATTCAGCCACATGGAGAGTAAATGCGAGTAGCTGTTACAAATATTATGTGCTAGGATTTCTGCCGGCCCCTAGGAATTCTTTGAAATCATGTGATTTTTCTAGAAGATTCTTTTGGTATTTTTGATAATGCTGAGCAATATCTACTAGATAACCAATGATTGCCATCCTCTTGCATTGTTTCAGTCGAAGTGGTCATTCAATGTTATGAGTTATTTTTAAACCTGTAGGTACGATGCAAGAAATTCCATCCTAGAATGGTCCATTCTTCTCATTGATAACTCTAACCTCAGGTAAGCAAATGTTAGGAGTATTTTTTTCACTTCCAGACCCTATATTTGACATTTTAAAAACACACCAGGTTGGAGAATATCTTATAATGTGCCATTTAATCTTTTTGGACAGTGGATCAATGGAGTTTGTTGTGCCACCAGCAGATTCATCAGCATTCTTCCCCATTTCTGTCCAATTTTCAGCCACCAGCACATACAGTGATCTGAAGGTTTGCTTTTGCCTAAAATTTTGTTGATTTTGTTAGCACCTAGGAACTTTCACCTGTATAGAATATGTTTGCTTTTCCATTTTGTGAATTATCTTCCTCTGTTTTAATGATTGCAGTTGATTCATACCCATATGAAGATTTCACATATAAAACTTGCACTTGATTAATAAAATTCGCATGTAATGTAAACTAAAGCCATTTAGTCAATGCTACCTCCCACAGCTCATAAAGACAAATTGTGTTGTCATTGCATGAAATTGTTAATTTACAGTCACCGCTGGTTGTTGCAGTTGTTATTCTTGTTTCCCACCACTGTGTAGTGGGTAATATCAGGGATTTAAGCTGATTAAAAGGTTGTTCTTTTAGTCTATTCTCCAATTATCTTGACATTGAGCTTCCTTTTCGTTTTCCTTTTTGCAGGTTGTCAATATCCTGCCCCTGAAGGGTGGACCTCCTCCCAAGTTTTCCCAGAGGACCCAATTGATCACAGAGAATTACCAAGTAGTCTGAATGATAGATACTTCACTTGTATGAACCGATGTACGAGTTATCTCCGGCCTATTTAGTGTATGTTTTCTGTTGTAAAATTTGATGAGTACCTTCTCAATTTTGAGATTGTTGATCTGGCATCTTTGCACTTGTTCTCTGTGTCTCGTTTCTTTTTCTTATTGTTGGTGTAAATAACCTTTATGGTGACTCCCACACTCTCTTCTATTTTTTGTAGGTCTGGATTTTTGTATAGCAAGTTTTTCAGTTCTCATGCAGAACGGCTTTGACAATAATCTTTTTGCACTTTAGTTTAAGATGATTGAAGTCTTTTCACGTTATAATTGGAGAAACATTATTACAAAAAAAAATAAAAAATAAAAAATAAAAAAATAAAAAAAAAATCAGAGAAACACTGCAAATTCTCTGTTCTTTATCTGCAATTCTGTTTACCAGATTCCTTCACTTTATATGTCTCTGAAGATGGCAACCAGATAGGTTAAGCATGAAAAATTTGCTTTCAAAAATGCTTTGGTGAAATGTGTCCAGAGAAATTTCTTAACAACCTGCCTCTGCTCAATTCTGAATCATCCTGTTGTTTGGTGTCTGTTTGGTAATAAGATCAGGAGTTTTTAATTTTATTATTTTCTTCGAGCTGGAAAAGTGTTTCTGCCATTTTTTTTTTCGAATTTTGGCTAGGTAATATGAACTGCCCACGCATTTTAGTTGTCTATTAATAATAAGGTATGTAGGAAAGATGATATTCAGTACCCAATTTATTATTTTTCAGTTACAGGGCATCGGTTATCACAAGGCAATCCCACGCTAAATCGAATCCATTGATTGGCTTATAGTGATTATGGACACAATGACACAAATCATGGAAAATGATCGCTGAAGTTAGAATTTGACGACTCCAGTTGGATAGGCTTTTTAATGGCTTTCAGCTCCATGGTAATACTTCCAAATGGAATCCGACAAGCCAAAATTTTTAACCTTTAGAAAAGGTATATAAAAATTAAAAAAGAAAATGATAATTAGCATTTTCTCAAACTTAATGTTTTAAATAAATAAATGTGGATTATAGTTCCATAGTCAAAACAAACTACGAAAAACAAAACTTTTCGCAAATTTCTTAATTTTGGGAAGGAGCGATAAGCTGTGTAGTTAATACATATTTTGACTCAAAATGGAGTAAACTATGTATTAATCCCTCTAGTTTTGAAAAATAAATCAATTAGTCTATTTTGTTTCAAAAAATAATTATTTAGTCTCTATATTTTTAAATTTTTATGTAACTTAATCCTTTCTCATTCTTTTTCAATTTATTTGGATTTTTTATTCTAAGAAATTTAAGCAAAAAAAGGTGAAAAATATATAAAGATTTATGAGAAAAAAATCAAAATGAAAATTTATTTGAAATAAAATAATATTAAATTAAACATGATCAACACTGGTTAATTTGTTTCTGAAAAATAGAGAGACTAATTTATAATTTACTTCTCTCAAAAAGTTATTCAGATAAAAAATAAAAATAAAAAACACACAGACTATTCGGAAGGAAGTCCATAAGAGATTAAAAGATGTTGGATTTAATGTTAATTGGGCTTACTTATAATTAATGAGGAGCCCATAACATAAACCGGCCCAAATAAAGTCACTATAAAACCAAACATAATTCATTTTCTTCCTTCCTTCACCAAGTTTCAGTTCTCTTCTTGTCATTCCGTTTCTCGGCGACCAAACATACGTTACATACCTGTTTGGTAATTAAACAGATCTGATCTGATCTCATTACTTTGTTTCAATCAAAATTTGATTGCTATAAATTGCTAAAAAAATGTAATTTCTGTCATTTTTTTTTCAGATTTTAATTTCTTTGCCAGTTACATTTTATTGCTTCTCTGATCAATCAAGATGGTAAGATTATTTTCTTCCTCCTCTTTTTTTGCTTTTTTTTTTTTTTAATTCAATTAACGTTTTTTAAACTAAAATATAGGTTTCGATTTTTGGTTTTATTGGAAATTTAGGTTGTGCTTGCGGCTTCTATACTGAGCAAGAATGGAAAAGGTAAGTGAAATTTTTTCCCCGCATAGATAATTCTGTTGCATTAACTGTCAATTTTCGTAATGCACGTAGATCCGTAAACCATGCTTACCACGATTAGTAATTTTGTTAATGGTTTATTAATTCAAATCTTTAATCCATTGGCTACGCAAATGGATAATAATTACTCAATGATATTGAAAGCTTTTGGTGCATTTGTTCAGTGCCAGGGGTGAGACTTTTGAGTTACCACATTATTGTGGTGGTGAGGCATTGTTGAGTTGATATTTATTTATTTGGGTTTACTTGTAGTGCTTGTATCGAGGCAGTTTGTGGATATGTCTCGGATAAGGATTGAGGGTCTTCTTTCGGCTTTTCCAAAGTTGGTAGGGACTGGAAAACAGCATACGTTTATTGAGACGGAGAATGTGCGTTATGTTTACCAGCCGATAGAGGCTTTGTATTTGCTACTTGTGACGAATAAACAGAGCAATATTCTTGAAGACTTGGAGACTCTAAGGCTGCTGTCTAAGCTTGTATCCTTCTTCTGCTTGTCTAGTTTTGCTGTTCAATGTTTTTATTCGTAATATGCTCTATGTTGGGTGTTTCATGAACTTTGAAACCTGAGTTGCTTGTGTGATTTTTGTTTCATTAAAGTTGATGGAGGTTTTAAGTTGATTCCTTAAGTGCTTCTAGGTACCTGAATATTCCCTGTCTCTTGATGAAGAGGGTATTTGCCAGACAGCTTTTGAGCTGATCTTTGCTTTTGATGAGGTTATCTCCCTTGGGCACAAGGAATATGTTACAGTTTTCCAGGTTAAGCAGTATTGTGAGATGGAGAGTCAGGAAGAGGAAATGCACAGAAAGATGATGGAGAGAAAGATGGATGATGCCAAGCGAACTATGATGGACAAAGTTACGGAAATTGAGAAAAACAAGGTATCTTTTTAAAGCTCCACAATGTAAAGAGAAGCTGAAGCTGTTTTATGTCCTGTAGTTAACTGCAATTAATATCTCCCAAATTTTGCAGATTGGAAAGAATGTGGGTGATAAAGGAGGATTTATGCCCTTACAGTCAATGGGATCTGGAAGAATTGAAAATAGCTTTAGTGATATGAGCATTTCCAGTGGTGGAGGTGGTTTTGGAGGTGGCTCTGGCTTTGGATTGTCCACAGATGTTGATTCATTTTCCAGCAAGTCTAAAGGTTTGTTTCTATTTATGTCAAGGAACAGCTTCTATTTTGTAAGTTTCGGACAACGTTTATGTCAAGGAACTAGATTAGAGCCTTTTAAAAATTTCTCAAATTCCCATTAAAATTTTTTTTGAACTCTTAAATCTCAAGACCTGGTTTGGAATCCTTTGATGAGGTTATAAATTGCCACCAGATGAACTCTGTTGGCTGCTGTCTATTTGTTAAAATCATTATTGTAACTGTCTCTCGTAGTGTTTCTCTTTTCTTTTTTGTTTTAGGAAGAGTTTTTTGACCTAATAGATTTGGCATCACCAGGTCGTCAACCTTCTTCTGCCGTTGCTCCTCCTAAAGGTCTTGGTATGAAGCTTGGTAAAAACCAAAGCACAAACCAGTTTTTGGAATCTCTGAAAGCTGAAGGTGAAATGATTGTGGAAGAAGTGCAACCCAAGGCAGGCCAATTGAGATCAGCTGCCCTGCCACCTTCTGATCCCATCACCTTGATTGTTGAGGAGAAAATCAATGTCACTCTAAGACGTGACGGTGGATTGAGTAACTTCGATGTTCAAGGGCAACTGTCACTTCAAATTCTTAGTGAAGAAGATGGGCTAATCCAAGTTCAGGTCTGTCTGTCTGTCTCTCTCTCTCTCTCTCTCTCTCTGTGCATGTGTGCATGCATGGTTCTGGAAACAATTTATAAGCAACCACTGGTCTATGGTAATCAGGAGAAATATGTCATGTTTCATCAAGTGAGAGATAAATTGGTGCTTAACTGCCTGCAACTCTATATCACATCCACTTTTCAATTAAACCAAGAATCTCTTGACTAACTCTCATCTCATCTTTGTTAGAAATGTTGGTATTCTTTTTACTGTGTTCTCCTGCTTGCTATTGTTTTTCAACAAAATGCTCATCTTTCCAGCTCAGCCACATTCATTTACTACTGCTTCCCCTTTCATTTAACTAGAATATTTATAAAGATGTGAAATGCTTACAATAAACCTAATCAATTTGGTTACTCACTTAGGTCTAGTTTTTGAAGGGATATCATTTTTCTTGTAAATAAAGTCTAATATGTGTATCTGTAATCAAACATTGCTAAAGGGTTGAACCTTTTTGTTCCATATTGATAGTTCAGGATATTATATGGAAAAATACGATAGTAAATCACATTTTCAATGAATAAGCTGCCTTTGAACAGATTTAATGCAAGTGATGGCTGTTTAACGCACACAAAACTGGAGTGATATCTTTGGTGAGAGTCAAATATCGAGTAGCACATGTATTTGCTGCTTTGTTTTGAAAATCTTGTGGTAGGTTCATTTTGATATGTCTGCGTTATTTCCAGATTGAAACTGGGGGGAATCCAGGTGTCATTTTCAAGGCACACCCTAACATGAACAGAGAATTATTTGCCAAAGAAAGTATTTTGGGCTTGAGGGATCCTAACAGACCATTCCCCACTGGTCAAACTGGGGATGCAGGTGTTGGTCTTTTAAAGTGGAGAATGCAAAGTTCTGATGAGTCAATGGTGCCGTTGACAAGTGGGTACAAATCTTAAGCATCTTATCTTTGTTACTTAATATCTGTTGTATTCTCTGATGATATTCTCGTATTTTGCATGTTTCAGTCAATTGCTGGCCATCTGTCTCTGGAAATGAAACTTTTGTCAGCATTGAATATGAAGCTTCATCCATGTTTGATCTACGAAATGTTGTGATCTTGGTCCCCCTCCCAGCCCTCCGAGAGGCACCAAGTGTTAGGCAGATTGATGGTGAATGGAGGTACGAGTTGTAGTTTATTCTTTTCTTTTAGTGGAGGTTGTCCATGTTCGTAGCTAGAATGGCTGTTATCTACATGCTCTTTTTTTTTTTCTTTCTTTCTTTTTTTGGTGGGTATTCATATTCTTACCCCCTTGTGGTTTGGCTTTTACCAAAGTGATCTAAAATGCACGAGTATATAAAGTCACGCCACGCGAGATGCTTCTTAAAAAAAAAAAAAAGTTCTGATTACCAAATTAAATTAAAAAGTTGCAATGAGTGCTGTTCAAGGAGATGGAGAATATCTGATAGAAGCCCAAGGTTGAAGCATAATGTTTTCCACCTTCGTAGTTACGAATAGGAGGTGCTAAGAGCTCAAAATATTTTGAGAAATCAGGTGGTACAATATTTTAAAGAAAATTTTCTTGTTATTGATGTATGTTAATTGATATATCTTTTCCATAAGCATTGTATGCCAAGAGATACTTTTCTCTCTTTTTATTTATACTCCTTTTCATAATTTACGTTGTGGCTGTGAATATATTTATTATTTTGTAACCTGTAGGTATGACTCAAGAAATTCCACCCTGGAATGGTCCATTCTTCTCATTGATAACTCTAACCGCAGGTAAGCAAATCTTGGAAGTTTTTATCCCTTTCAGACTTTCTGTGTTTGATACTTGATATTGGGCTCCTTGATTTGTTGTAATGTGCATTAAAATTTTCTGGGCAGTGGATCAATGGAGTTTGTTGTGCCACCAGCAGATTCTTCAGTATTCTTTCCCATTTCTGTTCGGTTTTCAGCTACCAGTACATACAGCGATGTAAAGGTTCGCTTTTATCTGAAATCCTCTTGATCCAAGTTAATTCTACCCCAATTTTGTTTTGTTTTTTTTTCCCTTGAATAAAGAAAGATTTTCTTATCCACTTTGTTTATTGTCACTTTCTGTTAGCTTTTTAATGATAAATTGCTGGTTATTAATGCTTATGCCAACATTTCACTTAATTAGTATGCATTTAAAATGAAACTATTTGCAGAAAGAATTACTAGTGGGAATATTCACATATGATCTTATTTGAAGTTCACATATTGAAACGTAAACCGTGGTTAATAAAATTCATATATATATATAAAACAAATTAAGATGTAATCATTTTGTGAAATTTAAGTTATAGCCACCGCTCTTTGTTACAGTTCTTATTATTGTTCCTTGCCGTTCTTATATTAGGTTCATTCATAGATAAAAATCTCAGGATTGTTCTTACTATTTTAGTGTCTGAGTAAATATTAATTGAAGCTATTATAGTATCCTTGTGAAAGATATTTGTTTTATTCTTTTCTTGAATTGCCTTGATGTTGAGCTTAAACATTTGTTCCAGGTTCTTAATATCTTGCCCCTGAAAGGTGGACCTCCTCCCAAGTTTTCTCAGAGGACTCAATTAATCGCAGACAATTACCAAGTAGTCTGACTTGCATATTTTGAGTGTCTCTTCTATGGAAATGGGTTTGGTAAATTCTCAATTTTGAGATTCTTGAAAAAATCTTTGACATCTTATGCACTTCGACTCTCTTTTTACCTTTTTTTTTCTCCATCATATAAATGTTCTTAATAGCAATCTCCAATATCTTCGGTTGCACCTCATTTGAGGAATTACATCTTTTGTATTGTCCTTGGTTTTTTTTTTTTTTTTTTTTTAAATACGAATTTGAATTTTTTTCATTCATCATGAAAACTCAGATAGAACAATTCTGACAATAACATTCGAAACTTCAAGGTTGAAATGACTGAAATTTGTTGAAGCCAAGTTTTGAGAAATTTTCGGTTATCATCAGTAATGCAATTCAGTTTACTAAGCACCTCCAATTCGGTTATCTCCAAGAAGTTGAGCGACAAGACTGTTGTTTTTATCAGCATTTGATCCAGCCTAAAACAAGCTGTTCCTTGTTGCAATGGCTGTGTAGAAATGGCATGGCACTCTGTAAATGAGGTTTGGATCTTTATGTCGCTTTGGTAGAAATTTGTAAGCTATTGATCACGTTACTACTTGCATATTGTGTTCTACTAGTTGGAGAGGCCTTAAGAGTGTTTTTTGATTCATGAAGATGGAATCGATTTGTATTTTAAATAGAATCAAATTGTTTTAATATCATAATGGATGCACGGAGTCCTGGAAATTACCAGCAATCTTCAACATGATCACTGAAGCATGCTTTCGAATTTCTGTCTCTGTTCAACTGCGCAACTCTTAAGATCTTTTTTTATTTTTTTTTTGAAATATTAATGCCGAATGAATAAATAGATCAATTTGTTTTTATATAATGTTTGAAATTTTTTTTTCTGTTTTTAAGTTTTTAATTGCATCTCATATGTCTTTATATTTTTAAAATGTTTAATCTGTTTTTTTATCATAAAAAATATTTTTACCCAAAATGCTTTCGATTGAAATGCCAAAAAAAAAAGAAAAAAAAGACTTTAAAAATAGAATATGTAAGTTTTGTAACTTAATTGTTTGTTTTTGTTTATCAAGGACGAAATCATTATTCGTAATAATAATAATAATAATAATAAAAACCTCCTTTTTGTAAAGCATTGTTAGTGATAGAAATGGGTTGATAGTATGAAAACACCCAAAGCATGTTCTTTAGACTCACTAAACTGAGCAATTAAAGTCACATAAATACGGTATTAATCAAATTAAAGTCATCTGCCCTTCAGGATATAGTAAAATTTTACTGACAATACATTTGTGAATTGTTATAACTTTTACTGACTTGCGTTTAATGAAGTCGAGGAAACGCGTTTTATGATGGCCAGGAGTTTGCATTGAACATAGTGAAAATTCTGTAGTAGTTGACAGGTTGATTTGACTCAGTCAATTGCAAAAATCTCTAGTCTGAAAATTCGAAATCGAAAACGAAAATAGTCTCATGATGCCACTCAACACTGATAACTGGAAAAGCCACTCAAAACGGCCAAACCACTCCGCTTATTTGGTTTAGAAAGAAACAATAAATTCCAAGTAAGAAATCTTGTTAAATAAATTTTTCTATCAGAGGAAAGTCTGCTTATTCATTCTTATTCATGAATAAATACTACAAAAGCTGACTCTTACGCTTTCTTACAGTCAAAGCTAGAACAAGTTTTCAAGATAGTGAAAGATGAAAGTTCAAAACACAACTTCCTAAGAAAGCTACTAGTTAGAAAACTACTATTAATTTAATTACGATAATGAACATGTAAAAATTTATTACATATATTATGTAATTCCAATTTACTAAAACTTATAACCAAATATATATACTTGTTTATGGGTACACTATACCTAAACATAGGATTAGCAATAATTATTAAGAGACGGCTTTGAAAATCATTGCTAAAGATAAAGAATTCACTTTCTAGGTAGATTCTCATGAATAAATTTTTTATTTTTTAACGACGGATAAACTATTTTTAAATTCGAGATAAAATCTTTTAACTATTATTAATTAATTAACGAGAAGCTTTTTAATGATGATTTTGAATCGTCTCTAAATGATGTTTTTTATTTTTTATTTTTTATAGTAGTAGCAAATAGATATGCACAGGTAATTTTTTTTATGCCTTTAGTATGTCTAATTATTTAGGTTCCATTGATCGTTCAATAAGCCTTAGGCTATAAAATGCGGATTTTATCTCTCCAAACTACGGTCGTCGCCGTAAGACGGATATGCCCCAATGATGTCTTTTTCTTCGTACAACCATGAACCTGTCCGTCGGGCCGAGGTAGGGGGCATAATGTTTTGACATGTACAAGAATTTGAAATAGACTCAATTCTCGTATTAAGCCTTCGAATTTCCTGATCTTTAGAATACAGGAGGCTCATGAGATATTGTATTTCCTTATCTTTGGAAGCTACTTGATCCTCAAGGGTTTTCGTTTCCTTCTTACCACATGGAGATGGTACGTCTTCAAGGGGATTTCTTGGTATTAAAACTTCTTGTTCCCCTCTAGAAAAATCATCGGGTACCTGGAAAAAGATATAATTGCGATAACCAATCCAGCAATAAAATAGAAAATATATCGAAGTAAAGAAGAATTTTTCCTTCATGTTCATTCATTGTTTATCATTATTATTTAATTGAGACGTATGATCGATCATTTATTTGGTAAATAGACAAATATTCCCTTAATTACATTACATATATGGTATATAACTTTAGTTTTTATAGTGTATTTAAATTTAGATCCGATTTCTTTTAAAAAAAAATGGATGGAAATTACCAACATTGTACATTTTCAAATACTAACTAGTTATAACATATAGGGATTTGCAATGGTTACTCGAAGGCACTATAATTATAGTGCCTTCAAGTTATAGATTATTAAATATTTGTATTTATTATATTGTAATAAGTTATCTTATCACTCAATAATTGAATTAATTATCATTTAGTTATGCTAGTGACTAATATATTATTATGCAATTACAATTCAAAAGGTACATTGTTCCTTTCGAAATGAGAATAAATACTATTTACTTTATTTAGTTATTTCAAAACTCTTAACAAAATATGTCTATTTGGATTCGAACTCATTATTTTTTATAAGAGACCACTATTATTAGGTTACAAGCTCTTTGGATAAATATTATTTACTTCATAACAAGAAAGTGATAATAAATTATTAAATAGATTCTTTAAATAAATAGTAAAAAAAAATCTTATCTTCCCATAATTTAACATAAATACAATTACAAAAATTATAATAATAAAAGTTTATTGTTAGAAAAATACTATATAAGTCGTAAAAAACTGTTTGTAAGTGATTATGAAATAATAAATGTTAATACTTATTGCATATAAAACACGAAATTATGTACCAACACAGTAATCAAGATTCATATCATAAAAAGCTAGGAATATATAGCCTTTACGCAAGGCAAAACCCTCTTCATGCAAACGTTGTAAAAGCTTTAATAGGATATTTTGAAAAGCAACATCGTTTGGGTTCTACCCATTGGTTCTATAGATAATTTTGATAACAATATGCTTAATATTTGAGCTTTCTAATCTATGGCATCAAAAAGACATCTTGATTTTAAACTTAATATTTTGAATTTACCTAATATCATAGATTGTATTATTCCTCACTCAAAAGAAGCCAAATTCACAATGTTAGGAGAAAAAAGAAGAAGAAGAGTTGATGAGATTTGAAAATCCATAACTGTTTGATCAGTAAAATTTAATATATTGTTAAATGATTATTTTAATTCAAAAGTTAAGTTATTAGCTAAAATTTTAAAAATAATTTTATATTATTCACTAATTCACATAACGAAAACTAATACTATCATCCTGGAATCCTTTGTATAGAACTCTTAGATTGAAAACAAAATAAGGAATTATCGGATTAAGTAACGATCAATACATACTTACCTTGTAATTCATTAACTTCCGTAACTTCATTGTAATCCATCGAATTATCTTCATTGGATCTTCTATCAAAGATTGAAACTGTCCTCTATATACAATCACTGCTACCTTTTTTCTTCCTTTTTGAATAATGGCGCATGAAAGAACCAGCTTGAATACTCCTATATAGATATTAATTCTAGCTAGTTTCAGAAATTTTAGACTAACAAATGTTTACTTACTTTTGCAGCAAACTAACTTCCATGTATTAGGAAATTTTCGTAAAACCGTGTCAACATAGGGGAAAAAAAAAACCAATCGTATGTGTCAAGAAATCGAACGGACCTGGCCAGTACTGACCATGTCAAGATATACATATATATATTCAGAAATTATAGACTAACAAATGTTTACTTACTTTTGCGGAAAATTAGCTTCCATGTATTAGGAAATTTTCATAAAACCGTGTCACCAGAAAAAAATAAAAAATAAAAAATCGTAAATATCAAGAAATCGAACGGACCAGGCCGGTACTGACTCTAGGTCAAGAAATCGCCTGAGCATAATTTAATTTTATATTTATGATCTAGATTGAATGACATTTTCTTTTCACTGGATACATGCTGGATCCATTATTAGTACGTCAACTGATTACGTACTCATGCCATCATCCAATTTGTGCTCACCTATAGATTTCTGGCACGTAATTTCAGCATTTATATCAAATACTGGACGAGTGACAAGAACTTCTTTACCTTTTGAATTTTCATGCATGAAACCTTTTTTTTTTTTTTTTTTTCTTTTTCTTAAAAGGGTGGGTGTGCGATAGATAGCTTTCTTCCATCCTTAAATCCCTGTGCAATAATGTAACTCTAAGAGCTCGGCCTAAAAGTTTTAAGGATAAAAAAAAAGGAGGAAGAGTGTTCTTTTTATTTTAGAGTTTAGAGTTTAGAATCGAGTAATTTATTTTTCTGAATACATTAGTTTAGAGAGAAAATTTAATTTCAATTAACAGATAAATTGGTCTGAAAATATCTTTAATTAGTGAATAAATAAAATGTATTCAAACATCCATGT